TTTTCTCTTGAAAATTGTTCGAACAGGCAATAAAACATTGCAAAAATTATAAAATTAATTTTTTTCGATTAATTACCACGAAAATTTGAGCAAAAACGATGAAAAACGAAGGAAAACGGAGAAAAGGGGGATTTGCGAAAATCTGTGAATTTTGCGCAACTTTCCCATGGAAGAGAAAACCCCCCAGCTTGGCCACGGCCATGGACTGATGACGTCATCGCTAGCAAATTTTATTTTTGGGATTTTCTCCATTTTCCTTCGTTTTTCATCGTTTTTGCTCAAATTTTCGTGGTAATTAATCGAAAAAAATTAATTTTATAATTTTTGCAATGTTTTATTGCCTGTTCGAACAATTTTCAAGAAAAAATAGCTCATTTTGGGCTAATTTTTGGGATTTTCGAATTTCGTTGGTAAATTGCTAATTTGTGATTGTTTCCTGCAATCAATGATCTAGAAAATTGTGAAAAGAAATGAGAAAAATTTCAATTACCATGACAATTGAGGAAAATTGAGAAAAATTGGGGAAAAAACGGAAAATTGGGGTAAAAACGAAGGAATATTGAGAAACAAAGAGAAATGAAATAGAATTGAGAAAAAGTGGTATTGAGGAAAGTATTGGCTGGGTTTTAATCCTAAATTACCGTAAAATCTGTATTGATATGCGCCTCTATTTGAATTGCCCCTCTAATAGACTTGCACCCCTTGAGGGCACTTGAAAAATAGACTTGCAGCCTTTAATTGAATTGCCCCCGTAATACAATTGCATCTCCAGCAGAATTGCGGCTCCGCCGGGAGTACTGTGCAATTTTTAGTCTGTGACACCGTGACGAACAATTGCACAGTTGTTTTTCGAATTTCTTTTTTTTTAAACTACCTACTTAATTTCTGATTTATTTTTATTTTTCTTTGTTTTTTTAACAATATTTTCCATTTATTGAAGCGAGCAACACGAGCAATGAGTTCTGAAGAAGTCCTCGAAGACGTGGAAAACGTAGAAGACGTGGAAGACGTGGAAGACGTGGAAGACGTGGAAAACGTGGAAGACGTGGAAGACGTTGAAAAAGTTGGTGGAAACTCTAGAAAGAGAAAGCGTGGAGCCCACCCCTTGGATTACAAGCTTACGGTGGTGAAATGGGCAGAATCAAAAAATAACACGGAAGCAGCTAAGAAATTTGGAGTTTCAAGACAAAATGTGCAACAATGGAGAGCTCAGAAAGAAAAAATAATAGCAACAATCGCTGAAAATGGAAAAAAGAAAAAACGGCTTGATGGCGCAGGGCGTAAAGTGAATGATAAAGATTTTGATACTAAACTTGCGGAATGGGTCCGAGAGCAAAGAGAAAAAAAGCTTCGTATTACTCGTATTGGAATCCAGAATCGCGCCAAGTCTATTTCAAATAGTGATATGAAGGTTTGAAAACAGATTACCTACTTGAGATTAAACATTAAATGTTGCAGTTCTCGAATGGTTTCTTTTTTGAAGCGGCATGGATTTTCGAGTAGACGTGCTACAACAGTCTGTCAAAAACCGCCAGAGTTTTATGTGGAGAAAATTATTGACTTTCTCCTTTATGTGGAACGATTAATTACCATGAATAATTATGACAAAATTTTCGCATGTGATGAGACGGCGGTTTATCTGGATTGTTCGAATAGTTTGACTATAGCGGATCGAGGATCTAAACAAGTCAGCACACTCAAAAATAACAAGCTAAACGTTTCAATTTCAGGTTTCAGTGAAAACCACGGGACACGAGAAATTGCATGTTACAGTAATGCTGTGCGCTCGATCAGACGGTTTTAAGTGCAAACCTTTTGTACTTCTTCCAAGAAAAAGACCAGTGCAAAGTATTGAGGAAACATTTAGAAAAACTTTGCAGTTGGTTTGGTGTGACAGAACATTTTTCAACGATGAAATCACAAAAACTTTTCTTGAAAAAGTTCTCGGTCACTCAATGTTCGGAAAAAGGTTGTTAGTATGGGACTCTTACCGTTGCCACATCAGTACAGACACTAAAAAAGTATTGAAACAACTGAGACTAGACACTGCGGTGATTCCTGGAGGATGCACAAAATTCTTACAAGTGAGTAGATTTTATTGAAACTTTGCGTGACCCGATTTTTCAGGCTCCAGATGTATATTGGAACGCAATGTTTAAATCTTTCATCAGAAAAGAGTACGAAGATTGGATGGTTCATGGAACGAAATCGTTCACCCCGGCGGGAAATATGCGTGCTCCCAGTATGGAAGTTTATTTGAAATGGATTCAATTGGCGTGGGAAAATATCCCGAAGGAATACATTGTAAGATCATTCAAAGGATGCGGATTAAAAAATGGAAGAAATGGCGAAGATGATGAGGCAATTCATTGTTTCAAGAAAGATGGAGAAATTCCAGAAGGCGTACAGTTATTGAAGACAAGACGAGCAGAACGAGAAATGGAAGAAATTCAGGAGATTTTGGGAGATATTGAAATTGAGGAAGACGATGGAGAAATGAACCATGCCGAGGAAGAAGACAATAACTATGACAGTGACGCCTCAATTTTTTGAATATTTTCCTTTTGTTGTGTTCAATTTGTTACTTTTTTGTTGATTTTCATAATAAAACTTTTTTTTTCAAAATTTTCGTAGTTTGAAAAATAGAATTGCAGCCTCTATTTGAATTGCCCCTCTAATAGAGTTGCACCCCTTGAGGTGACTTGAACAATAGACTTGCATGCAATATCAATACAGATTTTACGGTAAGCATTAAAAACCTGAGTTTGTAAAACTTGTCAAGCTTATTTTACAGTTCTCCATTTTTAAAAAGAACAATGTGATCCTGAAGTTCCGAAATTCTCAGATTCCGAATTCTGGAATTCCATTCTGAAATTCTGAGATTTCGAAGTTTTGAAGTCCTGAGATTCTGAAATTCGGAAATTTTTAGATTCTCAGATTTTGAAGTTCCGAAATTTTCAGATTCCGAAATACTGAAATTCCAAAGTTCTGAAATTCTAAGAATTCTGAGATTTTCAAGCTCTGAAATTCAGGAATTCAATCACCAATTTTGTACCCCTAAATCAGTTGTACCCCCTTGTACCCCCGAATCATTGTACCCCCCGAATTTTTTGCCTGAATTTCTGAATTTCTGAATTTCTGAATTACTGAATTTTTGAATTTCTGAATTTCTGAATTTCTGGTATGTCTAAAGGATTAAGACTACAAACTGAAACAAAATTACCGTTCTTTCATTCGCCAACACTTCATGTTCCTTTTCTGACAATTGGTAGATTCCAAGGAATGGGCGTTCGGCGATTTTCGAAATTTGAATTGTTTTATCCAAAAAATCAACAATATGATCGTAGACTTGTTTGTCCTTCCAGACGTAGCACAGTAGAATCAGACTCGAAATCTGAAATTTTGAAAAAAATTGAACTGGATATTCTGAAATTTTGAAAAATCAATTTGGAATTTTTCTGAATTCTGAATTTTTAGAATGTGCCAAGTTTTCAGAATTTTAGAAATTTCAGACTTTCTAATTAGATCTGAAATTCTGAGATTCTGAGATTCTGAGATTCTGAGATTCTGATTTTCCGAAAGTCTGAAATTTTGGAGCATTCTTTTACGGAAGTATGAATTTCCTAGAATTGACGAATTGACATTTTTTGCATTTTCGAAATTTTGAGAACCTTTCGAATTTTGGTTTTTCTGGAAATGGGGCTTTTCAAATTTCAAACTTTTTGAAAATTTCAAGTTCTTTCAACATTTGGATTTCAGCTTCGCTGTATTTTCACTAATTGCAAATTTTGAAATTTTGAAAATTTTGGAATTTCGAATTTAAATTTTTTCGGAACTTCCGATTTTCCAAATTTCTGAATTTCTGATTTCCTTTTTATCATTTTTGATAATGAACCAGCCGGTTTGCCGCGCGTCTGGCGCTTCAAACAGCTGGCTGGTGCGCCTTCGACGCGATTCACTTTTTGGTTTCTTTCACGTTACAAAATCAATCCATAACTCGATCAATATTACGTCGTGCTCCCATCCTTTTGTCCACTTTTCAAAAATTCTACATATTGAAAAAACACACAGTTCCTTGTGAAATCCCCCTCTTTGAACTTTATTACTCGTTGAATAATTTCCACTGGCACTTTTTCACTGGTAAGAAGCTCTTTGCACGCTGCTCATTGTATAGTTTCTTGTCTTTCGATTTGTGAAAATGCGAACAAAGTTAGAAAAGGCCCTCCGGGTCGCCATGTTTGGTGGTTCATGGCTAGGTGAATTCATTTTCACTGAACGTCCCCCGTTTCAAAATCGATCCGATCAAAGATTCAAAAAAAGAAACATCAATTAGTAGTGTTGGCATAGAGCTTCTGCCACTGAAGACTTACTAATGGAAATGTTCTCAACGGTAATGGGCCAGGGTGCCTAGCTTGTTGGGTTTTGGAAGGTGAGCCCATTGGAAGAAAACCTTGTTTCCCTTTCATGTACTGAGCCTCTACGTGGCGAAAGGGATCAACAGATTTACTAGTCTGGCTAATCAGTACACTTTTCGAAAAACTTTTTTTCGTAATTTTTATTTTTCGTGTTTTCTCAGATTTCAATTTTTCTGAAGGTTATGAAAAAATTCTGAGATTTACCGTAAAACCTGCATTAGAAGGGCCGGCCGTTCAATTGTTCCAAGCTACCTCCGGAGGGCCCTTCTATTACAGGGTCCCTTCAATTTTTCCAAGCCGCTCTTGGAGTGCCCTTCTATTAGAGGGGCCCTTTTATTAAAAGGTCCCTTCTAATATAGGTTTTACGGTATTTGAATTTTTCATGGAACTTCAAGTTTTTAGATTTTCGAATTTTTCGAATTTTTCCCTTTTTTAGTTCTGAATTTTTTGTCATTTTCTGAGTTATCAAATATTCCCGAATTTCAAAAAAAAAAACTGAACTCCTGGTTTTCACAAATTAGAAAGTCTGAGCAACTTTCGAATTTCCTAGGGTTTCTGATATCCCAAAATTCTGAAATTCCGAAACTTAGATTTTTAGAATTTTCGGATTTTACATCTTTTCATTCCCTTTTTGAATTCCTGATTTTTTTCTAATCTTCTAATAGTAAAACCCGAAAATCCCGAAAAAAATGATTTCACTTTTCTACCTGATCACTGAAAACTCAAAAATCTTACTCATTTTTTCATTTTTTCAAATTCCCCATTATTCATCATTTCCTATACTCTACTAGACACACAAATATTTTTTTGTTCGAAAATTTCAAACAAAAAAAAATCCTTCAGGTTGGTGGGAATGTGTCATATTTGATAAAAATCAAAAATTTTCAAAATTTGGAAAATTGAAATTTTCAGAATGTTCAGAAATTCAAAATTCTGAGATTCTGAGATTCTAAGATTCTGAGATTCTAAGATTCTGAGATTCTGAGATTCTGAGATTCTGAGATTCTGAGATTCTAAGATTCTAAGATTCGGAGATTCTGAGATTCTGAGATTCTGAGATTCTGAGATTCTGAGATTCTGAGATTCTGAGATTCTGAGATTCTGAGATTCTAAGATTCTAAGATTCGGAGATTCTGAGATTCTGAAATTTTGATATTCTAGAACTCCGATAATCTGAACATCTAAAATTTTGGGTTTCGGAGTTTCGAATAATTCTCAATTATGAGATTCTGAGATTCTGATGCTCCAAAACTCTTACATTCTGAAAATCTGAAAATCAGAAATTCAAAATTTCAAAAACTTTGATGATTCAAAAAAAAATAATCAAAAATCCAAAGCGGTCTACAGTAATCCCATAATTGGTATTGCTACAATGTACCTATAGTATCCCATACTGAACCTTCTCATCTACAGTATCTTCATGATGTCTATATCGATCATCTACAATAATCCTTTTGAAGTCTACAGTACCCCATTTTGTACTTATTTACAGTATCCGCGACAATCCTTACAGTAATCGTATTGGAATCTACAGTATCCCTGGACTCCCTGGACAGTATACCAGACCTACTATATTTGGTGGCTACAGTGACTACAGTAATCCTCGATTGTTGCAAACTACAGTACCCCCAATAATAATTTTTTTAAATAAAAATTTTCGGACCCTCGAATCTTCAGGTCCTCAAATTTCCAATTTTTTCAGATTTTGAATCGTCCCGATTTTGGAAGTTCCCCTTCAAAAAAAGTTTTCAGATTCAATTTTCCAGATTTCAAAGTTTTCACTTCGCTGATTTTTCAAAAATTCACTTTTCTGTCTCAAAAGTTCAAGACAAGTTTTTGTTCCGGTTGGGAACTGAAATTTTCAAGAATTTCAGACAAAAAATGAAAGTCTGTGTGATCTGATCAAAGTGAATTTCTGAATTTCTGAATTTCTGAACTTCTGAATTTCTCAAGTTTCTGAAATTTCTGAATTTCTGAATTTCTGAATTTCTGAATTTCTGAATTTCTGAATTTCTGAATTTCTGAATTTCTGAATTTCTGAATTTCTGAACTTCTGAATTTCTGAATTTCTGAATTTCTGAATTTCTGAGTTTCTGAATTTCTGAATTTCTGAATTTCTGAATTTCTGAACTTCTGAATTTCTCAAGTTTCCGAAATTTCTGAATTTCTGAATTTCTGAATTTCTGAATTTCTGAATTTCTGAATTTCTGAATTTCTGAATTTCTGAATTTCTGAATTTCTGAATTTCTGAGTTTCTGAATTTCTGAATTTCTGAATTTCTGAATTTCTGAACTTCTGAATTTCTCAAGTTTCCGAAATTTCTGAATTTCTGAATTTCTGAATTTTTGAATTTCTGAATTTTTGAATTTCTGAATTTCTGAATTTCTGAATTTCTGAATTTCTGAATTTCTGAATTTCTGAATTTCTGAATTTCTGAATTTCTGAATTTCTGAATTTCTGAATTTCTGAATTTCTGAATTTCTGAGTTTCTGAATTTCTGAATTTCTGAATTTCTGAATTTCTGAACTTCTGAATTTCTGAATTTCTGAATTTCTGAATTTCTGAGTTTCTGAATTTCTGAATTTCTGAATTTCTGAATTTCTGAACTTCTGAATTTCTCAAGTTTCTGAAATTTCTGAATTTCTGAATTTCTGAATTTCTGAATTTCTGAATTTCTGAATTTCTGAATTTCTGAATTTCTGAATTTCTGAATTTCTGAGTTTCTGAATTTCTGAATTTCTGAATTTCTGAATTTCTGAACTTCTGAATTTCTCAAGTTTCCGAAATTTCTGAATTTCTGAATTTCTGAATTTCTGAATTTCTGAATTTCTGAATTTCTGAATTTCTGAATTTCTGAATTTCTGAATTTCTGAATTTCTGAATCTCTGAATTTCTGAACTTCTGAATTTCTCAAGTTTCCAGAATTTCTGAATTTCTGAATTTCTGAATTTCTGAATTTCTGAATTTCTGAATTTCTGAATTTCTGAATTTCTGAATTTCTGAATTTCTGAGTTTCTGAATTTCTGAATTTCTGAATTTCTGAATTTCTGAACTTCTGAATTTCTCAAGTTTCCGAAATTTCTGAATTTCTGAATTTCTGAATTTTTGAATTTCTGAATTTTTGAATTTCTGAATTTCTGAATTTCTGAATTTCTGAATTTCTGAATTTCTGAATTTCTGAATTTCTGAACTTCTGAATTTCTCAAGTTTCCGAAATTTCTGAATTTCTGAATTTCTGAATTTCTGAATTTCTGAATTTCTGAATTTCTGAATTTCTGAATTTCTGAATTTCTGAACTTCTGAATTTCTGAATTTCTGAATTTCTGAATTTCTGAGTTTCTGAATTTCTGAATTTCTGAATTTCTGAATTTCTGAACTTCTGAATTTCTCAAGTTTCCGAAATTTCTGAATCTCTGAATTTCTGAATTTCTGAATTTCTGAATTTCTGAATTTCTGAATTTCTGAATTTCTGAATTTCTGAATTTCTGAATTTCTGAGTTTCTGAATTTCTGAATTTCTGAATTTCTGAATTTCTGAACTTCTGAATTTCTCAAGTTTCCGAAATTTCTGAATTTCTGAATTTCTGAATTTCTGAATTTCTGAATTTCTGAATTTCTGAATTTCTGAATTTCTGAATTTCTGAATTTCTGAATTTCTGAATTTCTGAATTTCTGAATTTCTGAATTTTTGAATTTCTGAATTTCTGAATTTCTGAATTTCTGAATTTCTGAATTTCTGAATTTCTGAATTTCTGAATTTCTGAATTTCTGAATTTCTGAATTTCTGAATTTCTGAATTTTTGAATTTCTGAATTTCTGAATTTCTGAATTTCTGAATTTCTGAATTTCTGAATTTCTGAATTTCTGAACTTCTGAATTTCTCAAGTTTCCGAAATTTCTGACTTTTTAGAATTTTTGTTTATCTCGAATTTTCCAAAAGATGAGCAATCAGGGATTCAACATTGTTGTGATTGCTCAGCTCTATTCACGGTCTACTAGATTCACGAGACCTTCAAGATTTTTTGATTTTTTGGAAAATCTTAAATTTAAAATCAGAAGTTTCTAAAAAAACGAATCATTGATCTGAAACAAAAAATGTGTCTAGAAAACTAGATTTTTACCGATAAACTAGAAAATTTGGAAATTCGGAATTTGGAAAAAGAAACTGGAAAAGCAAAATTCCGCAAAAAAAATTAATCGACCCCTTTTTCTGAAAATTCCAACTTTCTACTTTTTTTTTCCAAAAGCGAAATTTCAAAAAACATTCAAAAACCTAAAAGTTCCCATAATATCAAAATCAATTATCTCTAATTATCCCACCAATCAATTTTGCTCAAAAATGTCAAGTCTCCGTTTTTCCCTGAACTTTTATGTTCGCAAAAACAAAGAAAAACCAAGTTTTTGTGACTGGAAATCGCGTTAATTTCAGCGCGAAAAAAGAAATTATATAGGAGACAGATTCTTTTTTGATATTTGCAAAGAAAACTTTCTTTTCGGGCTTTTTTTTTGAGAAAAATTGAATTTTCAGGTTTGCGCTCGGACAGCTCAACCCATTTATTAAATTTGGGTCAATTATCGCGGGTGCTGAGTTTTTCAACAAAATTGGATTCTCAGAAAAAAAAAATTGAATTGTTCCAAGAGATTTTTTCCGGGGTGAACATGAGTAATGCGGCTTTATTTTGAGAAAAAATATATTTGAAACATGGAATTTCAGAATTTCAGAATTTCAGAATTTCAGAATGATTGTTGAGTTTTCAGAATTCAAAATCACATATTTCGACTCTACATATTTGAGAAAATCCGAAGTTCTAAAAGATTTTCAGAATCTCAGAATCTCAGAATCCTAAAATCTTTAGAATCTCAAATTATCAGAATACCAAAGCTCATGTTTTTAGAATCTCAGAATTCAAACCACAGTAATCCAATTTTTTTAAACGATGAAATATTGAAAACAAAAAATATTGAAAATTTCAGTTTTTGTGATTTTTCGAAATTTTCAGATTTTTTAGGATTTAACGAACTCAACACTCCAACCAATTTTTTAAAATATAAAACTTTTTTCAGATTTTTCAGAAAATTCGAAATTCAAAAATTGTGAGATTTGGAAATTTGAAAGTTTCAACAAAATCAAAACATAGGACCGAGAAAAACATAGGAAACCGAAAATTTTATATACCGTAAACACTCTAATAGTACGTCACCCGATTCGTCAAGTTTGAGCCTATGTATCTCACTTTCTGTGAAAGATATAAAAAAGTGGTTGACTAATAAAATGTTGCTGATACTGTGATAAAGATTTTATTAGTTGAAAACTTTTTGATATCTTCTAAACGAATTGAGATATATAGGCTCAAAATGGACAGTACGGGTGCCGTTCTATTAGAAATAACAATCAGATTTGATCTATGACGATTTTCAGATTCTCCAATTTTGCAGAAATTCGGATGTGCAAGTTTTCAATAACTTTTCGAAAGTTGGTTATTTTCCTTTCTTTACAGTTTACTCTCATTTCTACCGTACCTTTCTCCATTCTTCTTCCCGATCTCTGTTCATTTTATCTCACAACAAAAAGAGCACAAAAACTTTGCTCTTCCTAAGCAACAAACAAAAAATTATCCTTCACTCATATGATAATCCCATTCATTCCTCGCTTCAAATCTTCTGCTGATTAATATCCTCTTCTGACTCCTCCCCCTGACACCCTTATGACCAACTCGCCCGAATGAGCATGAAAAAGTGGGCGGAGCTTGTTCAGCGAATATAAAAGCGAGGAGGAGTGGCTCCACCTCTTATCTGAGTCGTTACTCTTCTCAAATTACTCAAATTTTCTCAAAAAATGTTCCACATCAACCAGGACGTTCTTACCAACGTTGACCTTCAGAATCGGTCTCCGGCAGTCCGTGCGGCGGTCCAACGGACCGTCGAGGAGAAGCGACGTGGATTCCGTCGCTGTGTTTCGGCTTTCTATTAAAAAATCAGCTACAGTAACCCTTCCGGCTTCCCATATATTCTAAATAGCTACAGCATCCCATATTGGACTGATCTACAATAATCCTTTGGACTCTACTGTATTCCCAACTTTATATATTTGTTTAATTCTACAGTATCCCATATTGGACTCATTCAACTACAGTAATCCTATTGGAATCTACAGTATCTTATATTGGATTTATGTACAGTATCAGCGATAACGCCTACAGTAATCTTTTTTGGAATCTACAGTGGAATCTACAGTATCTGTGACTACAGTTCCCCCAATTCAAGGTTTTTTTTGTTCTCCCTTTGTATTTCCAATTATTTTGGATTCTTTGGATTTTCGGGTTCTCCAAAATTTCATGTTTATTTTTGTTTTTCTTGTTTTTTTTTGTTTGACTACTTTTTTCTGTACATAAGATTTTTTTTTAAAAGAAAATTTTCACAATAAATGGTTGTAAATTTGTAAAAATTGTGTTTTTTTGGTTTTTATGGTTTTCAGAAAAATTTCAGGGATTTCCAGAATTTCAGAATCTCAGAATCTCGGAATTTCAGGATCTCAGGATTTCAGGATTTCAGAATTTCAGAACTTCAGAATGTCAGAATGTCAGAATCTCAGAATCTCCGAATCTCAGGATCTCAGAAACTCAGAATCTCAGAATCTAAGAATCACAGAATCTCAGAATCTCAGAATTTTCAAACCTCAGATGTTCAGAATCTCAAAATCCTAAAACTCAAAGTATGGTAAATTCGGATTATAAGCACTTCAGAATCTCCGAATTTCCAAATCTCAGAATCTTAGATTTTCAGAATTTCAGATTTTCCAGTCTCAGGTTTTGCGAATCTCAGAATTCCAGAAACTAGGATTTCAGAATTTCAGAATTTCAGAATTTCAGAATCTCAGAATCTCAGAATCTCAGAATCTCAGAATCTCAGAATCTCAGATTCTCAGAATCTCAGAATCTCAGAATCTTAGATTCACAGAATCTCCGAATCTCAGAATCTCAGAACTCCAGATGTTTGCTTTTTCTCAAATTACTCAGATTTTCTGATCTCTACAAAACTCAAAAACCCAAGAATTCCGGTCACACCTTCTTAAATTTTTTGCTCTTCTTTGAAGCGAAACTATTATAAAAAATTATATTCTTCTCAAAAAAGTGTTTCACATGAATGGTGCTAGTTAAAGAACCCAAATTTGCAGATTTTTCTAGAAATTTCCGTTCTGAAGCAAAAAAAAGTTTCCGGTCCACCAAATTTTTGAATTCAAATTCGAAACTTTTTCGAGTGAAATTGCTCATCATTTGAATCACGCAGATGCTTTCCAGAATTGCTTAGAATTCCAAAAAAAGGGGGAAAAATTTTTTTCTCGTTCCAGGAAGTAAAAGGATTAGTCAAATCTGAAACTAAAAATAGGTTTCCGGAGAGGGTGGTAAACATTTTTTCTCCGTTTCTTTTTTGAATAAAATAAGATTACTCATATCATGTTCCAGGAACAAAAACTATGAATGTAGGTCAATAGTTACTGGGGAAAAAATCTGAAAAAAATTATTTATAATTTTTTTTTTCGAGATCTTACGGAAGTAGAACTTTTTGAGCACTTTTTTGGGTGTGATTGGATTAGAAAACGGAGTAAATGGATTACGGAATGCAGGTCAAAAATTTGGTTTTAGAAGTTTGATGGAACAATTTGAAAAATCTGAAAATTTCGTGAAAAGATCTGAAAATTGAAATTCTGAAGTTTCGAGATTTTGAGATTCTAAGATATTAAAATTTGGAGGCTTTTTTCTGTACTTTTTGAATTTCTGAATTTCTCAAATCTCGGATATCAGAATCTTCCCGATTTTCTGAATTTCCGAATTTCTAAATTTCTAAATTTCTGAATTTCTGAATTTCTGAATTTTTTTGAATTCCTGAATAACTTGAAGATTCGAGTTTCTGAAATTCAGAATTTCAGGATTTCAGAATTTTGGAATTTCTGAATTTCTGAACTTCTAGATACTTGGAAATTTTGAGCTTTCTGGAATCTCGGAATTTCTTGAATTTTTTGAAACTCCAGATTTCTCAAGGAAAATCTAATTTTGTGAGTTTTTTTTCTTAAAAAAAGAACTAACGGCCACAACGATTGCCAATCCAAAAATCATGAACATCCCAATCGATTCTCTCCATGTTTGTGGTCCTTTAAATGTGACTTTTGGATTGTTGGATACGGTACGAATGGGCGGAGCCGGTGGTAGTTGAGGTGGAGTTTTCGGCTCGGCGTCGAAGTCAAATTCCATGGTTTTCTGAAAAAATTGAGAGATTTGAAATGGGAAAAATTTAAGTTTGAAAATCTGAAAAAAAAACAAAAAATTCGGACAACAGGAACTCAAAATTCAGAAATTCAGAAATTCAGAAATTCAGAAATTCAGAAATTCAGAAATTCAGAAATTCAGAAATTCAGAAATTCAGAAATTCAGAAATTCAGAAATTCAGAAATTCAGAAATTCAGAAATTCAGAAATTCAGAAATTCAGAAATTCAGAAATTCAGAAATTCAGAAATTCACAAATTCAGAATTTCAGAATTTCAGAATTTCAGAACTTCAGAAATTGAAAGTTTTAGGAGTTTATTCATGACGGAAAAGTTCCAAAATAAAATTTCCGTAAAAAACTTGACTAGTACAGTTTCCCCAAAAAAGTGACTAATCCATTTATGACCTAGAAAGTTTTGAAAGGAAAAAGAAGATGGGAAAGATACAATACATCCCAAAAAAAGAGGGAAACATCGGAAAATCTAGTAAATCTATAATAGTAAAAGTATATAGAAAAAAGTAGCTTTGCTAGACAGTATTATCAAGAAAAGTTCCAGATTGTCAAAAAATAAAAAAAAATTCAAATTTGATAGTTTCAAAAAATTCAAAAAAAACCTAGAATCTTACTAATGCGTCTGTAAGCTGTTTTTTTGAATTTTTTGGAAACTTTTAAAATTTTCTAGAGCTTTTACAACTTTCAAGAGCTTTTTAGAACCGTCTGGAATCTTCCAGACCCTTCTAGAAAACTAAAAAAAAACAGGACGATTTGGTCAATACCCATTCAAAAAGCATACGTTTTTTTCCGGGGAGATAACCGGATTCAGAATTATAAAACAAACGCATAATATTAGACACATAGACTAATACGATAATAGGAATTGGGAATAGGTGGAGAGAAAAGTAGTATACAAAGAAGAAGAAGAAGAAGCTTCTAGAAATTCTGAATAAGGAGACAAAAGGGGAAAGAAGTGACCACCTGGTGAGGATAGTGTATCTCTCTGTACTTACCGGCCGAATGCATTTTATTGCCCTGTACATCTGTGTGTTCGGAAATGAAGCGATTCAGAAAGCAAATCCTTTTTGGAATTGGAAAAGAAAAAAGTAGAAAAAAGTTAGATTCGGAAAAGATGCCCAAAATTACGGATGGATAAAGTTCAACTCTGATTATCTCAGTTGCTGTGAAAGATATCAAAAAGATGTTAACTTATAAAATGATTATTATACTTTGATTATTATAATTTTACACATTTTGCTAATTCGCAACTATTCAATACCATTTACAGGAATTGAGATAATTAAGGTCGAAGTTATGATAATACTAAAAAAGCAGGTAGTTATGGGATAAGGCAATTTTCCCTAATTATTAGTCTTCCTGGAACTTATATCAAAAAAGTGTTAACGAATAAAACAATTGACATAAAACTTTACACACTTTATTAGTTGACCGCATTTTGATATCTTGCACAGGAATTGCGATAATTAGGGTCAAAGTTGAGATACTGAAAAAGTAAGGCGGTTATGGGACGATCACACTTTAGATCTGATTATTTGATTTACTGTAACAGATATCAAAAAGACGTTGACTAACAAAATGATTATCATAAAATTTGACATATTTTATCAGTCGGTCGCTATTTGATATCTCTCCTAGGGACCGAGATAATTAGGGTTAAAGTTGAGTTATGATCAGAAAAACACCTAACTCTAAAGGGGGACTCAGGAAAAGGTCACTTCCGGAAAACAATAAAGAAAAGAGTAATTAGTGTGAAAGTGTGAATTAGACATCGGTCAATAACAATTTCAGTTTTTAGAGAACAATTTTAATTTTTTCAAAATTAGATTTTTAAAAAATAAATCACAGTTGAAAAAGAAATGGAAGTTGAAAAACTAGAAAAACTATTATAGAATTTAGACAAATCGGAATTTTGAGAAACAGGTCAAATTTGGTTAAACTCGGTCATGACCTAGAAAACCTAAAAACGCAATATGGCCCAGAAACCCGAAAAATTCGGTCATGGCCTAGAAATCCAAAGAACTCGGTCATGACCTAGAAATCCGAAAAACTTGGCTCTAAAAAGTTGTTATAACGGTTTGAAGGACTTGAAAAATTTAAAATAAAGTTGAAAGGTTTTCGAACACTTTTGGACTGTTTGGATTGTGAAAATTACCAAAAAAAAGCTAAATTGGTCTAGAAAAGGGTGAAAGTGTCAAAAACGATTGAAATGATTTTAAAATTGTCTAAATAGTGGTTAAAAGTGTCTAAAAACGTATAAATAGCCAACAGACGGTCCACAAGTATCAAACGTATGGGTGCCGGGTAGATTGAGCTCTAGAATCATGTCAAATGTGAAAACCATTAAAATTACTCAAAAATATGAAAATAAGTTTTACAGTTGTCTTTAGGGGCCTAAAAACGGGTTTGAATATTTGAAAAAAAAATTAGAGTTTTGAAGGAAAATACGTTTAAAAGGTGTCAAAAACCCTTCAAAACCATCAATAATACCGAGCTACGCGGTAAAAATGGTCCAAGCGTTATCCAAAACGGGACCACTCACTATTCATAATTAATGCATAGTAGAGAGGGGGTCAGTCGGGGGGGGGGGTGGTGTCTCCAGAATCGGATAAAAAGAGGGATGAAAAGGCTGCGTATGTTCCTTTTAGTGTGTTAGTCCGTGTCAGGGAAGGACCTTCGTGACCATGGACAACAGGAGGAGAGAGAGAGAAGAGAGACGCAGACAATAGAAAATCGAACGGGGGGAAATTAGAGGTAATCGGAATGGGTCAAAAAGGGGAAGTCTCTTTATAAGGAGACACGTTCAAAAGGTCACAAATGTATCAAAAATGGATGGAGGGGAGAAGAGGTTTAGAAAATGGTGGAAAAGCGAATTTAATTGGCTCTGAAAACTGGGTCAGGAAATTTGAATGTTCTGAATTAGCAGAGTTTAGGAAGATTTAGAGGAAAATAGAACATTTGTTCGTTTAGAAACAGACTTTTAGGATGCGTTTGGAAAGGGAACAAGGACATCTGGACAAACAGATAGACAGACAGAGATCGGCTTTTAGATGTCAAATTCTGGAAAATATGACATTTTTGAAATTGGAGCTCGAAAGAATGAAGTCTCTAGCTACTCTAAGAACCGAGATAGGGCGATTAAAAGTTTTTGAGAGACGCAGGGAGTTAGACCGTCTCGTCGCCTGCGACTCCAGCGCTTTAATTTTCAAACGGATGTATCTCGGCTTCTAGACAAGCTAGAGAAATGAAACTTGTTTGAAAAAATAGAAAATCAAAAATTCTCAATTTCCAAACAAAAGCCAATCTTTTAGGTGCTCTGGAACCCGATATACGATCATTCAAAACTTTGAAGAGGATGCAGACAGTTAGAGAAAAAATTAAAAATTATTCTGGGATAAATTTTGAATTTGAAAATTATTTTAAAATTATCTTCATCCGGAAATCTTCTTTTTCAATCTCCGATGTTCATCGTCTCTTCAGAAGACGTCTCCAGAAGACGTTCGAATGTTAAAAATGAAAGTGTGTCTCTTTTCGTTTCAAATGAAATGGAGAGATGGGTCATTTCCATTTCATCCGGGAGACAGAGAGAATAGAGGATCCATCTGTCTTCATACCTGTCGCCCGGAAAGAAAAACGGGTTGACTCATTCGATTTGAATTGAAAAGGAGAGGGAGAGGGAAATTGATGATGAGCAATTAGGAAGAAAAGGTTTTGGGAGAGGCTACCAGCTAGGTTTGGCTAAAAACGCAGACGGCGAGACACTCTAACTGTCTGCGTCTCTCAAAAACTTCAAATCACTGTATCTCAGCTCCTATGAGGCCTAGAAAAGTGATTTTTAGAGGGATTTGAAAGAAATTTACAGTTTCAAGTTTAATTTTAAAAGTTTACATTCCAAAAGTTCAGGTAAAGCAACTATGAATACTATTTTCCAAAATTTGACTTTGATGAGCATTGATGAGCAATTAGGAATAAAAATGTGTTCAGTTTTCAGAAACTCAGAATTTTAGACATTCAAAAATGAAGAATTATCCGAAATTCCAAAATTCAGAAGACTGAAATTTCAAAATCAAATCATGGAAATTATGAAATTTCAAAAAATCTCAAAAAGATTTCAAATTAAGATTTCGAAAATTGAATTTCTTGTTTCTCAAAAATCAGTCATTTAGAAACATAATTTCTAAAATTTCACACCTAATTTAATTTCATTCGAATTTCAAAGATTAAGCAGATATTGAACATTTGACCTATTTTTTTTCAATTTTTGGAAGTTTCCGATTTTTTGAAAATTCTAAAAAGTCAATTAAATTTAAGAGTCTGAAACTGAAAATGAAATCTTCAAAATTAGAATTTCAGGATTTTCTTGAACAAAATTTCAATTTCGAACATTTCGTAAAATCTGGGATTTTTGAAATTCTTCAAAAATCCAAGTTTTCTCAAAATATCTCAATTTTAAATTTTTCAGGGGTTAGATCCAACTAAAAAAGGGTTTTTGTTTGGTTTTGGATGAAATAATAAAACAGTAGGTACAGGTTGACTTTAGGGACAAGGACGCCTAGTTGGAGATAGAGAGGTGACTAGGTGATTTATGGGACATTCTGTTGGAAATAGCAAAACTGAGACAAAGAAGAAAAAAGAAGTGAGAAATTAAACCTGATGATGGTGGTGGGGGTAAATAGAATTTGGGAGGTAATAGAAAATAGAAAATTCGGAAAATATAGTGAATTTTCAGATTTTAGAGATAAATTTATGAAAATCTGCTTCAAATTTCACACCTTCTGTCCAAACTCCTGTTCTCTAGCTCATCTAGAAGCCGAGATACAGTCATTTGAAGTTTGGAAGAGACGCAGACGACGAGACACTCTAACTGTCTGTGTCTCTCCTAAATTTCAAAGTGGTGTATCTCGCCTTCCAGAGAACCTGAGAGATTGGGTTTTGCTCAGAAATGTAGAAATTTTGATTTTCTATGTTTCAATCCAAATTTCAATTTTCTAGCTCATCTAGAAGCCAAATTACTGTCGTTTGAAGATGAGAAAAGACGCAGACGCTTAGAGTGCCTCGTTGTCTGCGTCTCTTCAACTCTAAATCGCTGTATCTCAGCTTCTAGTAATGTTAGAATGCTCATTCTTTTGATTGAGAAATCGGAAAATCTTGAACTTTTAAGCCTAGTTATGCGGTTTCCAAAAACCCCTGGAAAATTAACAAATCACGAAATGATTCAAAATATAATTTTTGAATTCTGCTCAAAATTCCACACATTTCTGTCCAAACTCCAATTCTCAAGCTCATCTAGAAGCCGAGATACAGTCATTTGAAGTTTAGAAGGGAAGCAGACAACGAGGGACTCTAACTGTCTGCGTCTCTTCAAAGTTTTGAATGATCGTATCTAGGCTTCCAGAGCACCTGAGAGATTGGTTTTTGATTAGAGATGTAGGCTTTTTGCTCTTCTATGTTTTCAAACAAGTTTCGATTCCTAGCTCATTCATAAGCCGATGTACGCCTCTTTAAAGTTAGAAGAGACGCAGACGCTTAGAGTGTCTCGTTGTCTGCGTCTCTTCTAAACTTCAAAGCGCGGTATCTCGGCTCTTAGAAAATCTAGAATGCAGATTTTTCGTGTGTGAGAAATCGGAGAAATCCTATTTTTTTAGGTCCAAAAAAGCTGGAAAATCTACTGATCACCAATTTGAAGGAGTGATAAGTAGAGGCAAGTACTACGACGAAACTTGGGTCTAGAGAATAGTCTAAAGCAATTATAAAGTGAACAAAATGGAAATTTGGAAATCGAGGAAAGAGAGAGAGAGAGACGGTGGTATATATTCAAATTGGGGACGCCACCGCCCATGATGATATGTCATTGAGAAGCCAAAATGTCTGCGTCTCTCCATCTCTCAATAGATACGATCTACCTTGGGCGGTCAGTCAAGGTCTCTGTTCTTACCAGTCGACCGTAGACGCCAGAAGACGTTGAATGAAGGCACAGAAGACTCGTAAACGGTTGAGCGACCGCGTAGGAAGAAGGTCGCTGTTGTTTTCGGCAGGGAGAGGATGGGAAAATGGATGAAAAACGGGTGACAATTAGATGGGATAGTAGTGGACATCTGGATGCACAGATCTAAGAAGGGATATAGACAAATCAGATGATAGCGGTTGTGTGGACATTTGAACATGCTGATATAGGTATCATTTGCTGAAACCCTAATTACCGTACTCCCTCTAATAGAAACTGACCCAAACGTCAAACTTTGAGGCTGATTATCTCGATGCCTGTGAAAGATATCAAAAAGTTGTCAATTAATGAATTGTTTATCATAATATTTCTAACATTTTATCAGTTGACAACTTTTTGATATCTCTTGTAGAAATTGAGATAATTGAGCTCAAAATTCAAATATAGAAAAGCCTTTTTTTAGAGTGTTTACGGTATCTTATCGCGCTAATTATCTCGGATGTCGTAAGAAATATCAAAACGTAGTCAATTAACAAAATGTATATTTTGAAATTTTACACATTTTATTAGTTGACCACTTTTTGATATCTCTTACAGAAACCGAGATAATTGGCTTGCAAATTGAGAGATTGATTTCTAATTTTTGATTGGAAGAAAAATTGAAATTCTGGATAACAAGTGTGAAAATTATCCACAATCTAGAATGTGTTCCCCTCTTATGACTCACAGAAAGAGCGATTTCTATCTCTTCTCTTCTTCTTTTTTTGTTCCTTTGCGGTAGATCGAAATTTTTTGATTCGATAAAAAAGAGAACACTAAAAAAGTTAATGTTCCATGGGGGTACTAATGTTGCCATTAACCTACTGAATTCAGGAAAATCGTCTGATTCATTTTTTAGAGATTTTGGAAAGTTCGAGAAGTCGGAAATCAAAAAAATTTGAAAATTAGAATATTGCTAGAGATATCTTAAAAAATCAATTTCGAAAGATTTGAAAATTCCGAAAATCTCAAAATCGGTAATTTTTGGAAATTCGGAATACCGTAATACCTGGAATAGAAGGGCCGGCCTTTCTATTGTTCCATGGTGTCTCTAGAGGACGCTTTTTTCAAGGGCCCTTCTGTAAGAGGTGCCCTTCTAATACGGTTTTTGAAAATCTGGAATTTCTCTGGAATTCAGAAAATTTTAAAAAAGGAAATCGGGAATTTCGTAAACTTGGAATTTTGAAATTTTGGAATATCGTACAACCTGTATGAAAAGGCCGAGCCTTTCTATTGTCCCATGGTATCTCCCGAGGACGGTTTTTTTCAAGGGGCCCTTCTAATACAGGTTTTCCAGTATCTGAAAATTTGGCAACTCCAAAATTCAGAAACCAAAAAACACTGGAAGTCCAGAAACATGTAGAAATCCAGAAAACCCTAAATCTAGAACGCCCGACGGTACTTCCGATGGGTCCTTTAAAAATGGGCCCTTCTAATACAGGTTTTACAGTATCTGGAAATCCAGAAACCCCTAAATCTAGAACATTCTCTACAACTCTAAAATTACCAAACACATCGCCTATTCCACGACCTTTTTTCATCCGAAAATCCACCACCACAAAACCAACACCTTCTCTTTTTTCCGTTCGTTTTTTTCCAAAAAGCATTATCCTTCTATTCCAAGGACATTCTGTGTGTTGAACCAACCGTCAGATACACACCTATATAAAAACTGGGTCGTAAGGTTTTTGAAATCGGAGACAAAATGTTCCAAACGATTGAAGAAGGGAAAATTAGAATCGAACAAAACGATATTTTTTGAGAAGCTATGAAAATCAGACTGCAAAAAAAAATTATGAAAAAAAAAGATTAAATAAAAATCAAGAATAAAAAATTTTGAGGATAATTTGAGGTGACTTCCGAACCCAGTTTTTTTGTCCGAAAATTGCAAAAATCTCTTTTTTTTTTAAATTTTTCGAATATTTGAGATTGGGATTCTTGAAATTTCCTTTTATTTTCGTGCTGAAAATACTGATTTTGTATCAGTTTCGAAAATTTTCAATTTCATAAAACTTTGAAAATTCGAATATTCTAAATTTCATTAAAGTTCTGAAAATTTTACCTTAAAACCTGTATTAGAAGGGCCCTCCGAGAGGGGCTTGGAAAAATAGAAGAGCCCCCTTCAAAATGTGATGCAAAATTTTGGAAAAAACTGGCCGTAAAAATAGAAAGGGCCCTCCGGAAGCACATTGGAAAAATAGAAGGGCCGGCCCTTCTAATACAGGTTTTACGGTATTCTAAATTTCATTAAAGTTATAAATATGTAACTGTAAAACCTGTATTAGAAGGGCCCTCTGTAATTGAAGGGCACCCCGTAATAGAAGGGCCCTCCGAGAGGGGTATGGAAAAATAGGAAGGCCTCCTGTAATAGAAGAGCCCCCTGTAATAGACGGGCCCCCGTAATAGAAGGGCCCCTTCAAAATGTGTATTAAAATCTGAAAATTTCCGTACTTTTTCATTGGAAAATATTCCGGTAACTCCACAATTCAATAGAAATTTGTCGAAACTCTATATTTCAGATTTTCATGAATTTTGAACGAAACTTCGTCGAATTTTTCGATGCAAAATTTTGGAGAAAACCGGCCGGAAAAATAGATGGGCCCCTCTAATTGAAGGGCTCCTGTAATTGAAGGGCCCCTGTAATAGAAGCGCCGGCCCTTCTAATACAGGTTTTACGGCTTAATGTCTTCAAATCGTTTGTATTTTTTGCAATTATTTGACTTTTTTGGAATTCTGATAACTTTCTATTTTTTAAAAATTCTGAAACTTGTGAAATTACACAAACCCAAGTTTTCTGAAAAATTCAGAATATCTAAATTTTCAATTTCTTCAATTTGCTATGTTTTATCAGAAATTTTCATAGTTTTTCATTTCTATTTTCGTCACGATCATATGCGTGTCGTATCTGTTATCAGCACTGATAATCTCCAATAAATTATCCAATTATCACCAAGTCATAAAAGAATCAATCTCTTCTGATAAGATAACAATATCCCTCTCCTACTCATTTCTAACAGATTACTAATCTTTCATTAATTTGTGTTAAAGAATCTGAAATAATCCAAAAATAAATACTCATTGATAACTGATAAGATTATATTGGATTAGCGAAATTCTTGGAGACCAAAATTTTTTCCAGATTTTGCCGTTGCAAAATGTGTGTCTAATCGTTTCGGCTTGGGATTAGAATGGGAACTTCATTCAGAAAAAAAATATAGAAACTTTGGGAAAAAAATTGGGGACCATGCGGACATCTGGATACACAGACAAGCAGAGAGACTCAAGACTTTTAGAATTTTTGGGAATTTTCTTTGCAAATTCGAAAATTCGGAAATTTCGATTTTTCAATAATCTGGAAAATAAGGAATTTGAAAACTTCAAAAATCCAGGAAATTCCAGAAATCCTAAAAATGACAGATGTTTCAAATTTTCTGAAAATCAGAAACTCAACAAACTTAAAAAAAAACAGACATCTGGACACACAGACAAACAGAAAAAAAATGAATTTGAACAAGAGTTATTAAATAATTAAAAACCATTCTATTATAATTTGTAGATCCTCAATTTTGAGTTTTTTGAATTTTCTTCCACATCTTTGATTTCTTGACTTTCAGCTCCTTCTTCTGGAACATTCTCGAATTCTCTTTGGCGTTTTCTGAGTTTTGAGAGACGACGTTTTCAGAATTATTTTCAGAATTCTCTAGAATCTTCTTGGTGACACCACTCGATCGACGTTTGCTTCCGAATACAATTTTCGAGACTTTCTTAATGGAATTTCGTTTTTTGAAAACGGATTTTTGATCTTCGATCTTTTGGTTTTTCGATTTTTGACCATCCAATTTCTTCAGAATTTCATGAATATATCCGGTGAGATGTGGTGAGCCGGAGAGAGGAGCCAACGTTTTTTCAAGGTCCATTTGAGTGGAAATATCGATTGGAATCGTGTGGGTGGCAAGGTATTGAAGGGATTTGGGAATCTGAAAAAATTGGAAATTTCAGGAAAGTTTAAGAATCTTGAAATTTGGAATTCGAAAATTTCAGAATTTCAAAAACTTAGAAATTCAGAGATTCAGAAGAATTCAGAAAACCTGAAACTCCCAAAATCTAAAATGCAGAAATACCGAAATTCTGAAATTCAAATGATCTGAAATTCAAAAATTCTGAAATTCAAAAATTTGGAAATTGGGAACGTCAAAAGAGCAGAAATTCGGAAATCTAGAATTTCAGACTAATAATTTGAAGTTCAGATACCGTAAAACCTCTAATAGAACGACACCCGATCGTCCACTTTAAGCCTATATATCTCATTTCTTTTGAAAGATATCAAAAAGTAGTTAACTAGTAAAATGTTTATCAGGATATCAGCAACATTTTACTAGTTAGCCACTTTTTGATATCTTTCACAGAAAATGAGATATATAGGCTCAAAGTGGACGATCCGGGTGTCGTTCTATTAGAGGTAATTGGAGTTAAAAATCTGAAAACCTCAATTTTTCAAATTTTTAAATTTTTAAAACCAAAAAACTCACATCCTCTCCATCTTTGACTCGGTTGATCATTGTTCTGATGACAACTTTTTGAGACGGCGCCATCTTTCCAAAAATCTGAAAATATTCAAAATTTAGAAATTATAGAAAATTAATTTTGGAGAAAATCAAAGCTGACGTTTTGAGCTCAATTATCTCAGCTCATTAAAAGGTATCAAAAATTTGTCAACTGATAAAATGTTTGTGATAATTTGATGAACATTTTATCAATTAACAAATTTTCAATATCTTTAATAGGAACCGAGATAATAAGCCCCAAAAATTAGGCACAGGGAATGAAAGTGCGCTATATTGATACCTTGTTTTCGACCCAATTTATCTCAGCTCAGATAAAAGATATCAAAAATCTGCCAACTGATAAAATATTGGTCATGTTGTCACCAATATTTCATTAGTTAGCTAATTTTCGATACCTTTTATAGAAACCGAGGAAAACTGGACCTTAAAAGTAGGCGCATGTAGTGCAAGTGCGCTTCAATCACACTAAAAATCTAATTTATCTCAGTTCCTGTGAAAATTACAAGAAATTCGTCAACTGACAAAATGTTTATCATATTATTCATAAAGTCTTTTCAGTTGACAAAATTTCCATATCTCTTATAGAGACCGAGAAAAAATTTGCTAAAAATAGCAACTTCAAAAAATCAGGATTATTGAAATCGCAAAAAAGAAATGTAAAAAACAATATACAAAGCAATAGAGAAATAGTAACTAAAACAAAAAATGTAGGTACATGTATAAAGTAACGACTGTGAGGGTATGTTATGCAAGTTGGTATGTGTGTGCGTAGACCGACCGACCCCACCGGTCAATAAGAGCCAACATCATGGGAAACTATGTCATTTGCCCTTCTGGGAAGGACAAATGTCAACTGTCCTTATACAACCAGACGGCTCGCACCCCTACTAGTGTCGACTCACGGTATAAAAAACCAAAAAAAAAGAACTTACCACCAGTCGGACTCGAACCAACATCGTGTGGGCAAAAGCATAGCGCGTTAACCACTACACCATGGACGCAACGGCGAGAGGTGGCGGCCAAGGTGTATACATCTAGCGGCCCTTCGTGCTCTTTTTAACCCTACACGGGCTTTATGATTTGTTGTGGTGAAGCCAAGGTAAGGTCGTTAAAAGACTTTCTAATCATTTATTTTGTTTTAACGATAATCAATTTTTTAGAAACATCAAAAAGGCACTGAAAAAAAAGACTGACCGGATCGGTTTTTATAGGGGACTAGTAGAGTTTACTTATTTCGTTCGACGAAATATCAAAAACATTTTTAGAGGGGCAAGGAATAAGGGGAGAGAAATTGAGATGAATAACCTAGAATTTGAGAATTCTAGGTAATTTTTACAACGGATTGTGCATCATTTCGCGTCGAATCTCGCTGCCACGCGGAGGGATGGACCGGTCGAGAAGACCAAGTTCGCAAATGCATCTGAAATTTTTGAGACTTTGAATTAGAGTTTTAAATATTACCAGTGTTTTGCGATTTTGCGAAATTGAACTATCATTGTGTAGCTCTAAAATTTTAAGGTTTTAGGATTTAGGAGTTATGAGATGTGAACCTTCAAATTTTGTATTATGCTACGCAAACTTTGGGCACCCACACTTCCGCTTCTATTATCCCTAGATATTTGAAATTTAGTTATATGAAAGTCATAATTTTGAAATTTAATCCCACAAAGTTTCAACGTTCTAGCTCAAGTTGTAATCGAGATATGACTCTTGGAAATATAGGGCGAACCGCGACGCGACCGCAACGCACATAGAACACTTCAAGGACTTACATCTCCGCTTTCTTCGCGCCTAAAGTTTTGAAATCTTGGGAGACTAAAGTATCGCACCTTTAAAACTGCTACACAAATTTTCAGCTTTCTAGCTGTACTAAAAGCTGAGATACAAGGTTTGAAACTAAGCTACTCACTGGTGTGGAAGCGTCAATATCCTTTTTCTAAGAACCCGTATCTAAGCTTACATAAGTCCCAGACTGTTGAACTTTGGGATGATACAACCAATACATTTGAATATTAACATTACGGAATTTCAAGGCTTTAGCTCTTTTGGTAGCCAAGATATGACGCTTTGAACAATCGTGACGCGCCAGCTACCACCTCACAAAATTTCAAAAACTTGTATTTTGGCGCTCCCTGATCGTAGAGCTCTGAAACTGTTCTTAGACATACCTATACTGATCGGGAATCTCCAACAACGACTGTACAGCAACCTTCACATCACCATCCTCCAACGAAGTGGACTTTTTGATAATGTCATGGAACTCAACGAAATGGAAGTTGTCCCATGGCCGTTTTGGAAGCGACTCGTCGAATATCTAAAAGCATCTTCTAGAAATACAGTAACCCTACTTTATTACCCTCATCATATCCCATGGTCCATCTCCAACTCCAACGACAATAATGGATAATGGATGTTGGCAGGCTTGAACGATCGCTCGTCGTGTGGCTCGCTCGTTTGTTACTTGTCCGTCGGCAATGATTACGAGAATGTGGTACTGGAAACGAAAATTCAATATTATTCAAATTTTAGAAGTCTTTTCCACCAATTCTGTCTAAAAACCATACTTCCAGGCCGTCTGTGACCCGAGATACATTCATTTGGAGCTTTGGAGAGACGCAGACGACGAGACACTCTAACTGTCTGCGTTTCTTCTAAACTTCGAATGGTTGTCTCTCGGCTTCAATGTGAGCTAGAAAGTTGGCTCTTGGAATAAAATGAGGATTAAACTCACATCTCTCGACTTCTGACAAATCTCCATCGCTTGATAGATCAACGGCGCAAAGTTGGTGGGTCCGGAGAGCGCGACACTTGGGGTTACGGTATTATAAATATTCAGAACCTCATCCAAACTTCTGCAGTCACCCTCGCCCTTCAAATTAAACACACTCCAATCGCCAGTCTTCGCGTCTCCGAATCCATAAACTCCCAGTTTTCCCTGTCCAGCAAACGGTGCCAATGTTCTGCCGAGGATAGTGATAACTTGCTGATAAGGGTTTTTAACATGGGGATGAATTGTATGAAGACTGCGGCCACCGAATGACTCCTCTCCTTGATATTTGTTACTTGCGGTGTAATCGATTCCAAAGATCAGGTTTGTAGTTTCCAATCCAGCTTTTCTCATCGCCTCGGACAAAGAATCCAAACTGGTGATGGTCAGAAGCATCTCTTGCATTGAGGTCACTCCCAATACGGACAACAATGATGATTGCTTCCGAAGGTGGCGGTATGGATAGACATCGCTGCTGCTCACTCCTGAACCCGACCGACGATCAGAGCCAAGAGAGGAGTTCGATGGAGCGCGGTTGCCAAATGCTGGGAGGATTTGTGGAGCCTGGAATTGTGGTATGGGTTAGGAGGGAAGGAAGAGTTTTGGGTTCAAAATTGGAATTTCCAATCGAATCAAAAAGTGGAGTTGAGAAGTTGAGAAGATCCACAAGAAGAACTCATTTGCGAATTATGAGCTCCAGACTACAAACCAAGTCAAACGCGCTGATATAAAAGAGCTGAAAAGTTTTGAACCAAAAGTCAAGAAGGCAAAGCCAGCGAAATCGAACTGCGTAGTTATTGCAGCTAAAAACTTCCTTCAAAACTGTGTAATTTTCATTCTTTTGGTCAATTTTTGAGCTAATTATGCTTCTTTAAAAATGATGGAGAGGCGCAGACAACGAGAGTCCTCTCGTTTCTCTGCGTCTCTTTCAAAACTTCTAATCGCTGTATCTCGAAGAAAACCGATTTTCATGATTTTTAGCGAACTGTGATACTAATTAAACAGTTCAACTTTTTTTTTTGAAAAAAACTCTGAAAAGTCGGGCTGGGGAAATTGATTCGAGAATGTTAAAAATCTACTTTATAGAACTCCAAAAATTTTTGAAATCATTTTTTTTTCTGTAGATTTTTAATATTTTTTGAATTTCCTTCAATAATACTTGAAATAGAAGGCCAGCCTGGAGCCGAGATACAGCGTTTCAAAGTTTTTAGATAGACGCAGAGAAGCGAGAGTGCTCTTATTGTCTGCGTCTCTCTGTCAACTTTAAAGGCGCATAACTGGCTTCAACGTTGTCCAAATAAAAAGAAGGTTAAATAGTTTTAAAGGAAATTTTTAGATTTTTCATGCTGCCTTACAAAATTTCACTTTACTAGCTTAGCTTTCTTGGCATCTATGTAGCTCAAAAGAGAACATTTTCAATTTCTGTATTTCACTTTTTTGATTCAAAAAGAAATTCCAAATTTGAGCCCTGGATAGAAGTGAAGAAGAATGGGGGGGGGGGGGGAGGGGGGGAAAGTTGGACTATGACTAGGGACAATACACGTGGTTTTTTTGATCTACACCGAGGTACAGTACATGCGCAAAGAAGAGCTACAGTAAGACAAAATAGAAATGGGCTTACCCGTCCGACGGGCTTCAACAGCGACGAGTCGGGAATTAGAATCGGTTTATCTTCTTCCTCTTCTATCTATAAAAATTGACACAAATTGATTAGAATGGAATTCAAAAATTAATTGCATAATTCTAGAAATTCGAATTTTTTAAACATTGAAAAATTAAGATAAGATGACACATGCTGTTTTTAATTCTCTGAAAATTCTGAAAATTGTAAAAAAATTAATTTAGAACACAAGGATAGAGGAAAAGAGGAGTGAACAGAGATAACAAAAAGTCTGAAATTTGGAAAATTTAACTGAAAAAAAATGAAACAAAAAAATGTTTGGGATGCAAGGGAAAAATCTGGAAAAATCTGAAAATTTTACCTGTTGTGATTGCTTTTTGAGAGTGTTTTGTTGTTGTTGCTGGAGATCTGAAATTTGAGAAAAAATTATCTGAAACTTGCAAATTATGAAAATTCGGAATTCTAAGATGTTTTGAATGTTTAGGATTCTTAGATTTTTAGATACTGGAATTCAGAAAAGTCAGAACTCCAAAAAATCCTTATTTTTCCAGGTCATTGACCTAATTTTTTTGGGTCATGACCCAATTTTACTAGGTCATGACCTAATTTTTCCACGTCATGACACAATTTTTCTAGGTCATGACCTAATTTTTCTAGGTCATGACCCAAATTTTTCTAGGTCATGTCCCAATTTTTCTAGGCTATGACCTAATTTTTTCTAGGTTTTTTCTAGGGTTATGACCTATTTTTTTTCTAGGCCATGATCTGATTTTTCCTAGGTCATGACCCAATATTTCTAGGTCATGACCCAATTTTTTCTAGACATGACCTAATTTTTTCTAGGTCATGACCTAATTTTTTCTAGGTTTTTTCTAGGGTTATGACCTATTTTTTTTCTAGGCCATGATCTGATTTTTCCTAGGTCATGACCCAATTTTTTCTAGGCATGACCAAAATTATTCTAGGTCATGAGCTAGGCCATGACCTAATTTTTCTAGGTCATAACCTAATTTTTCTAGGTCATGACCCGGTTTTTTCTAGGCCATGACCTAATGCTTTTGTTTTGGCTCTTTGGGAATTTTTTGAAAAACAGACTTTGAATCTGTAGTTCACTCTCCGCGGCGACCTTATCGAAGTAATCAATCATATTCTCGCTCGTCTCACTCATCTGATCCGGTGGGATTTCGACACTTTGAATCTCCGGAGCATATGTCATATCATCGTGCTCATCATGTTCAACTCTTTCGAATACATCATTCGTTTTCACTTGACGACTTGTCGCCTCGAATGACGGATTCTTTGGCGCCAGTTTTCTCTTATTCTTCTGCTGGAGGTGCTCGTGCGCACTCAACATCTCCTCTTCCATGATAAACTTGTCCGGTTGGTTCTGCTGTCCAATGTATTCCATGGCATCTTGAACGTACAAATCCGCGGTGGCCAGGTTTTTGGGGTCATCGTTTTGGGGTCCTGATCCTTGGATGGGGACGTTGTAGGAGAACTGGATGGGGACCTCATGACCCTTTCGGCTGATGGGGACATTGATAACGGTTCGTGGGGATTCGGGGACAGAGTTTTGGCGGGTGACCACCCCTTGGGCAAGAGGACCTTGTCCTGGGGAATGAGGTCCTTGTCCTTGGTAGAACTGTCCTTGTCCTTGGCCTAGGGGACCTTGTCCCTGAGCAAATGAACCCTGTGGATATGGACCTGTTCCTTGGCCAAGTGGTCCTTGTCCTTGGATGAACTGTCCTTGTCCATGGGCAAGGGGTCCTTGTCCTTGGCCTTGGGGTCCTTGTCCCTGGGCAAATGAAGCCTGTGGATATGGACCTTGTCCTTGGCCTAGGATTCCCTGTCCCTGGGCAAATGGTCCTTGCCCAACCTGCTGCTGATGAACCAACGCTGGCCGTCCTTGAGGTGGCTTGCCAATCGGCGCCACTCCTGGTAGGTCCAATCCCAAATCATATTCCTGATACAGTTCCTGTAATTGGGCAGCTTCTGTTGGACTGATCCTCTTCACTGGTACTGGCTCTCCAGCCTTTGGCGGATAATCATAGATCGGCTCCGACACTTTCACATAGTCATCTGAATCGGCGGTGGTTCTACGGCGTTCCTCTTGGATGGCGCTGGGGCGCGTTTGCTGTTGTTGTTGGAGCTGTTGAGGAGTCAGAACGGTATGATAGTGGGGTTCGTCGTGGGCGTGGAAGTCGCTGATGTCGTAGTCGGTGAGTTGGGAGTCGCGGATGCTGAAAATTTTGAATTTGAAGTTATTTTTGAATTTGAAGTTAGATTTTCAGTTTTTAGCTTGTGGTTTGAGAAAGAAAACCAGGTTCATAGTTCATCTAGGAGCCATGATACAACGACTTGAAGTTTTGAAGAGACGCAGACAGTTAGAATGTCTCGTTGTCTGCGTCTCTTACCCGGAAACTTTAAAAGGACATATCTCGGTTCCTAGTTAAGCTAGAACATTGAAACTTGGATAGGAATATGGGAAAATTTTCGGAAAACGTTTTTCACTAGAGACGCAGACAACGAGACACTCTAACTTCCTGCGTCTCCTAAAAACTTCAAATTTCTGTGTAATTCGGCTCCCAGATGAGTTAGAAAGTTGGTTTTTAGACAGTTTTTCCAGAATTTTCTCAATTTTTTTCTGGAATTTTTCATATTTTTTAATTGTTATTTTTGTTTTCTCCGTCAGTTTTCTACTATGTATTCCCACGCATTTTTTCGCATTGCTTATCACATTTTTTCTTTTTATGACATTTTCCTAGTAGGTCAACATTAGGACATTTTTTGATTTCACAACAATTTTCTTTGCTTTTTATGTTGATTTTCTGTCTGTGTGTGTACTATGAAATAATAAAGTATAGATTGTTTTCACAAATGTCAATAAGGTCAAAATTTTTATCATTCCTTTTCTGTTGATAATTTTTTTCCACACCCTGTGGTTTACAGAAAAAAAAATGAGGGGACAACATGATTGATGTCATATATAAATATTTGGTGTGAATCATGGAATGGCTTTTCAAAAAGGTTAAACTGCTAAAAATTTTTCAGCGAAAATGCTAGAATTTTTTCGAAAATTTTGGCAGTTTCTGTACTTAATTAGATATTAAACTTCATTTTGGACTGAAAACCTAATTTCTAGCGCTCCTAGAAGCCAAGATACAACAATTTGAAGTTTTTGAGAGACGCAGACAGTTAGAGTGACTCGTTGTATGTGTCTCTAACTAGGAAACTTTAGAGGGTCATATCTTGGATTCTAGACAGTGTAGAAGAAAGATTTTTGTACGAGTATTTAGGATTTTTGACATTTTTTTCAGAGGTGTAGCCTACTTTTGGAGATTGACTTGCTTCTTTAATGTTGATGAACTAAAGTTTGTCCAATTTGAAGCGATAATCACAAAAAGTATACAATAAATTATCAATAGTGTGCTGTAAGAAATAATTTTCCCAAAAATTTCACACATTTCTATCTAATTTTTGATGCTCTACCTCAACTAGGAACCGAGATACAGCACTTTGAAGTTGAGGAGGCTAGAGACGCAGACAACGAGACTCTCTAACTGTCTGCGTCTCTTCAAACTTCATATGGCTGTATCTCGGCTTCTAGGAACGCTAGAAAGTTGGTTTTTGGACCAAAATGAAGTTGAGAACATGTAAGATTGGCTAGAACAGGAACACCAAGGCATTTTCAAATTTGCTTTTTAAAATTTTTTCCAAAAGTTCCACACATTTCAATCCAATTTCCAACTCTTTCGCTTTTCTAAAAACTGAGGTTTGTCCCTTGAAAGTTTTCTGGAAAGAGCCGCTGACGACGAGACGCTCTACCTGTCTGCGTCTCTTCAAAGCTTCAACTGGCTGTATCTCGGCTTCTAGTAACGCTAGAAAGTTGCTTTTTTGACCAAAATTAAGCTTTAAAAAATGAAGATTTTAACATGTATTAAAACCAGAAAGACTAAATGCTCTAGCTCTTTTAGAAGCCGAGATAAGTCCATTAAAATTTTTGAGGTTAGAGGCGCAGACGAAGAGATTCTCTAACTTTCTGCGTCTCTTTGAAATTTCAAGATACTGTAACTCGGCTCCTGGATGAGCTAGAATGCTCACTTTTTCGAAACTTTGATTCTTCTTTTTGATATTTTTGCATAGTTGTTGTACTTTTTTGTGACGTAAAATCTAATCTCAATATGGCTATGTTTATACATGACTCATGTCTTTTCCCTGGACCTTGCGGAACTGTATCAAAAGAATGAAAAACTTTTTTTTTGTTTCTCTCTTATCATTATCTTTTATGCAACACCCTCCTCTTCTCCTTATCACTAAAAATACCATCATTTTGTCCCCCCTCTCATCTCGGCTTATTTCGTCTTAAACACCTCATTTTCAGCTTTTCAGCCGCCTTCAAAACCCTCTAAATATTTATCTAGAATCTTCTAGAAGTTTCTGGCGAATGAGGGGAATTCTATGTTTTTTTTTGCTGCTTTTATTAACGGATTTTGTGAATTCTAATGCTTATAAATTCACATTGACACTGAAAGAGACGAATGATGTTACGAACATCGAGAAGTTTGTGGAGTTTTTGGTGGATATGACTTGTGGAAATGATGACTGTACCTATAGGATCACTTTTGAAAATTTTGGATTTTTGAAAATTTTGGTCAATGATAAGGAGTGAGTTTTTTGATGTTGTAAATTTCCTAAAATTCAGAAATTCCGAAATTCAGAAAATCCGAAATTCAGAAATTCAGAAATTCGGGTATTCAGAAATTGAGAAATTTAGAAATTGAGAAATTCAGAAATTTAGAAATTCAGAAATTCAGAAAATCAGAAATTCCCGAAAATTCAGAAAATTGAGAAATGGAGAAATTGAGAAATTGAGAAATTGAGAAGTTCGGAAATTCAGAAATTCAGAATTTGGAAATTTCAGGAATATATATTTTTGGATCCATTCTTTATTTTTGATGAATTCAGAATTCGAAAACATTTCAAAGATCGAATTTCAGATAATTTAGAAAACCTAAAATTAGAGACCCAGACAGTGAAAACACACATTTTTTGTATGTTTGTACAAGCTTTTTGATTGGAAATTGTGTATGTTTGCAAAAACAAAAATATACAAAAAATTTTGGTGAGAAAAAAGATTCGAAAATTTGGAAAAAAAAAATTTTTTAAACACAATTTTGAACAAATTTCAGAATATCAGACTTTTCGAATTTTTAAATTTCCGAATTTTCTGAATTTCTGAATTTCTGAATTTCTGAATTTCTGAATTTCTGAATTTCTGAATTTCTGAACTTCTGAATTTCTGAATTTCTGAATTTCTGAATTTCTGAATTTCTGAGTTTCTGAATTTCTGAATTTCTAAATTTCTGAATTTCTGAATTTCTGAATTTCTGAATCTCTGAATTTCTGAATTTCTGAATTTCTGAATTTCTGAATTTCTGAATTTCTGAATTTCTAAAAATTTTTGAATACCCGAATTTCTGAATTTCTGAATTTCTGAATTTTTGAATTATTTATGGGATTACTAATTTTTTCAAATTTTCAGATGTCCCAGTCAATGCGGAGATACCTTCTACAAACGGAACACCGTAAATGTGACCGTTTTCAAAACTGAAAATCTTTACATAAAAATGTTCGACTTCGAATTCGTCAACCAGCCAAATGTGGTGGTTTTGGGTTGTGAAATGGGACTTTTTAATGATAAAATGTGTACAAAAGTCAGCCAAAATGTAATGTTGCCAATGGAAGCTGAGCAATATTCGGATGACGTTTGCATTTGTGGAACTGATGCTCCACAGCCTTATTGCGATGATAAGACAAATAATGGATATTGGTAGGTGGAAATTTTTTTGAAATCTGCTTAAAATCCGAGGTTTGCCGGTCAAAGTCTCGTGTTTCTAGCTCATCTAGAAGCCGTTTTTATAATCAAAAAACAACGCAAAAATGCGATTTTGTGCAATTTCATGAGGTTTTTGAATTATAAAAAAAGTTTTATCAGACGAATTCAAAATTCATCCATAGAAAATGTAGAGAAAATAATTGCGGTTTTTTTGAGCTATCGAACTCCTAGAAATGTCAAAAACTGAAAAAGGAGATAGATTTTTTCTGTAAAAAACTTTCAACCATTTTTGACATTTTTTCTTCCGGAAAAGGACCATAGATGAATCTATAACCACTAATTATTTTTTAAAGAATCATTTGAATCATCTTGGAACTCCACAAAATCAGATAAAAAATTCTGAAATTTTGGTTTTAGACCTGCAATTGTGATCGCGCCAAACTTTTTTTCTGTAGATCAAAAATTATTTTGCAGTTCGGAATTGTTCTGTGGGAGAGCGTGCTTTTGTCATTATTTTCGATTTTAATAAAATAATCCTTCTTAACCTTTCGACTTCAGCAAAATCGGCCAAATCTCCTGGTGGCACGACTACAACAAAATTTCAACTACAGTAAACCCAGGACCGCCTGTTATCATCTCCACAATCATCGATAACGTTACAGTAACCCTTCAAGAGTCTCTCACAAGTGCTGGTATTAATGACCATAAGGATATTATAGTCTCAGCGTTTTTAAACTGCACCGAGGGAGTTTGCCAGTATAAAACTACCGTAACCAATTATGGGCCAGGGTATTATGACTACAAAGTTGGAGATAATAAGTACGTTTATTACGGAGAGAATATCTCAAAAATGATTGGAGCTAGAAAAAAGTTGTCAACTATGAAACTGTAAAAAATTTGATTTCCTACAAGTTGCTATTGGACAACTTTTTGATAGGTCTTATGGTTCTCGAGTTATAAGCTCAGGAAGAGACGCAGACAGCTAGACACTATCCCTTCCCTGCGTCTCTCCAAGAAGAAATCTTTCAGATGCACCAGTCCAACTTGCTTTGGATCCTTCCTCAAGGGTCATCGTGCTCCAGTGGTTCTCCAACGAAAAAATCAGAACCTGGAAATTCTGGCCTATCAATATACTAACGGTTATCCGGAGATCACTGTACTCGGCTGTGGATCTGGCCTAATTTTACATGACACGTGTCAGAGAAGTCTTGGGTATGCGTACTTCGACAGTCAATACTATAACGATGTCGTGTGTAGCTGTCAAGGCGCTAAGATGGGTTGTGATGATCTGACGCAAATTGCTGTGTGGTGAGTTGGCTTTGACTATGTAGCTTGCTTCAAAATTGAAATTTTTGATCTACTAAAATGGGAATTGATTTTTATAAGCTGCGAGAGAGCTACGCGGTCGAAATCTCCAAATCTATGTATAACCAGTCGGCTTACGCTGCTTCGGGGTTTAACCTCCTGGCCTACGTCTGTGGGGTTTCCTCGCCCTCTCTGCCCACCACGTTTTACTGTGATGAAATCAAGGACCGTCTCCAGAAGACTTAAAAATCAAAATTTCGAAAAAGGAAAAGTTTGGGCATCAACTAAGACACACTTCTGACCTATCTGTCAGGTTTCAGCTCAATCGGTTAATTTTGAATGGGGGAAAAGGCACGCTACATACATACAGAATTCGGTGAATGTTATTAGTAATGATATCCGATTTTCAGTATAGGTGGAACCCTAACCTGGTGGACAGATGCACCCGACTCAACATATCCAACTAGCAGCTCGATTGCCACTACAACTTTTCCGCTCCAGGATCCCAATATTTTTGACCTCAAATTCTTTTTATCCGAATTCACCTACAATGGAAGTCCGGATTATGATAAAAACGTCACACTTGTTGTGAATATGACATGCTCGGCTATCGACTGTGATTATTCTGTGCGAATTTTGGAGTATGCGCAGAATTATTACACGATCTATGTTAATGGAGAGGAGTGAGTTTTGAAATTCTGGAAAAATCTAAATTCGAATTCCTCAGCTTTTTAGCGCTCCTAGAAATCGAGATACAGCGATTTTAAGTTTTCTTGAGAGACGCAGAGAGTTAGACTGTCTCGTTGTCTGCGTCTCTAGCCTTCGAAACTTTAACAGGGTATATCATGGCTTGAGCTAGAAAATTGAAACTTGGACTGAAATTTATAAAATTCGGTTTCCTACATTTTCTTTGTAGAAAACTATTTCCTATTCGTTTCTGAGATATATGAATTCTAAAAACTATAAACTTCCAGATGCCCCGGCTCTCACTGCGCTTCGAAATTCTCCAAGTATCATAGTATTCCAGTCCATCTAGCTCGAGTCTCCGAATATTTGAATCTATTCGACTTGGAATTTCAAGACACACCAAATGTCAGAGTATTAGGGTGTACCTATGGAATGTTGGATTATGGTGGATGCAGAAGTTCGCAGTATTTTGATGACAAATTTCAGAAGGATGATATTTTCTGTGTTTGTCAGAGTAGCGAGCTGAAATGTGATCAAGGGGTGGAGTCAGGATTTTGCTCGGACGGTGATCCTATCTGGTGGAAATCCGGAAAAATTTATGATATCTCATCTTCCACGTCACCAACAACAACGTCTTCAGGAACCTGGTCTACAACATTTTTCATCGGACTCAATGAAACTGTCACCGCTGGAACCCAGCGAGTTTCCATTGAAACAACGCTAGAATGCCCGGATTCTTCATGCACCTTCAAGATTACTGTAAACAAAATTAACAAGGATTATTTTCGGATCTATCAAGATAATGCAGATTGTACGACACACCCTTGTTCAGGGACACTTTTTCAAACTCAATCGATCCACATTTATCTGCGTAAAGCCGACGGAAGCGGAGTTATGGATTTGTTTGATTTGAGATTTAAGGAAGTTGTCGTTTTGAATTGTACCGATGGATGGTTGGAACCCGGAAAATGCTTAAAGGCGAAGAATGGAGATGATGAGATGTGCAGCTGTCAGGATACATCTTATGATTGCGGAAGTGTTCAAGAGTATAGTTCGTGGTGAGTCTTGTGTAGTTAGCTGAGCTACGCGGTCACTAATTGGTTCCAACTAACATATGATGAGATTTATTGTGAGGACACTTTAAGTACCGTAATCAGAAAAGGTCTGCGGTCTAACTTGTCTTAATTTTTTCCTAGCTTTCTGAAATTTAAAAATCAGCTGCTCTATACCATTATGAGCATTTTCTCCAAATTTGAATAAGTTTGCTCTACCGGGTCCTGAGATAGCTCATAACTGTAAATACTTACGCGGTCACAAAAAGCTCAAATGCTCTTATCAAATAAAGCTCCAGCCATTCCTAACGTCCTAACTAGTACACTCAATTTTTTTCCCAGATATGTGTCTAAAATTTCGGAACTAACTTCTGAATACCAAAATCAAGATGGTCTCCAAATTTAAATGGACCAGTAAAAAACTAGATCAAATCGCGCCGAAGGCCCACCAGTCAGCTGATTGAAGCGCCAGAGACGCGGCAAGCAGTTAGCTGGTAATCCATATACTGGCAACAGCTACGCGGTCACAAAAAACTTACATGATCTTAATTCAGAGAACTAGGGCCCCGGAATCAGCCTTGACGCTTTAGTGATCCCCTCAGCTACTCAGCTACGCGGCTACTTGGCTAGATCAGCTACTCCTCTACACCCCCACCAAACCTCGTATTTTGTTTTCAGCCTATCTGGAACACCAGAATGGTGGAAACCTCCCAATGAATTATCTACTGAAGCTTCGACCACATCACTTGCCACGTCATCACCATCATCACCTTCTACTTCTCAATCTGCCTACACCACCACAGTCATCATTAAACTTTCCGAAAATCATGGTCCAGATAATCAACAAATTTCGATTCAAACCACTTTACGATGCCGAGACGAATCTTGTACCTATGACATTGAAGTTGACAACAATGCCGAAGATTATTTTTCAGTTTCTTTGGATGATCAAAAGTAGGGAACTTTGAAGTCAATCAATCTCGGTTGCTATTAGAGATATCAAAAAGTGCTCAACTACAAAAATGTTTGCCATGAATTGCTTAACATTTTTGTAATTTGCTCACTCTTGAAATCTTCTATGCAAACCGAGATAATTGAGCTCAAACTTTAGACCTTAACTTTCCCTTATTTTTCAGCTGCTACCCGTCATGTCATGGATCGTTCTACTACACCGATATCTGTAGATTCTATGTGTACAAGGGTGAAAATCAGAATATGGATTTGTTCGATTTGAAGTTCAAAAATGTGACGATCTTGGGATGCACCAATGGATTGCTAGAGTCTGGGAAATGTTTGAAGGCTAAAAATGGAAACGATGAGATGTGTAGTTGTCAGGATGCGGATTCCAATTGTAACAGTGTATCGGAGGACAGTGAATGGTGAGTTTTACTGAGGGAGCTACGCAGTTAGGTCAGTTAAATCAGGTAGATGAGCAACTTAACTAGGTCATTCAATGTCAGCTTCGTCAGATTCGTTAGCTACTTCAGCTAGGTCAATTAGGTCAGACAGATTAGCTAGGCCATGTAGATCCACTGAATAAGCTCCTCAACTAGAGGAGCTACTCGGCGAGGCCAGCTACTGAGGTACGGCATCTACTCAGCTTCTCAATTATGTCAATTACGCGAGCTTGGTAGAATACGGCAGTTAGTCATCTAGGTCAACGACTAAGCTGCTCAGCTCTGCTAGGTCAGCTACGAAACCTAACCTAGAATCAACAGCTACGCAACCACAACCAAGTGCTAAACACTGAAATCATAAACAAGCTACTCAGCCACACCAGATAGCTTTGCTACGCCATCTAGGTCGACTAGTTCATCTAGTCGAGCCTACCCAGATACGTCCCTACCTAATCTCATCCTTTGATTTCCAGCAAAAGCGGTGCCCCACTATGGTGGCAACCGGACCACACGTCTTCAACAGTTTCCACTTTGTCCTCAGCACCATCTACACCACCCAACCAATACGTCACCGTGTCAGCGTCTCTTTCAGAAGATTTGACAACGGACCCATATAACTTCAATATCGTGACAGTGATAGGAGTAATGAACTGTACAAAGAGTGCGTGCCAGTATGGAGTTACTGTAGTCAATCAGAATCCCGATTATTATCTGGTGTTGAGGAATGGAGAGGAGTGAGTTTAGGGTCTATAACTTTGCTCATAGATAAGATACAAATTTTTTAATAATACCAACTTGTAGAACTTAAAAAGCTCTATAAAACATTTTGTTTGGTAGGAAAACTTTAATTTTGAAAGAAGTTATAGATGAATCGTTGAGCATTCCAGCTGCCCCGCCCCTTGTCAAGGCACGATTGCTAATGGAGACCCCAGTGTAATCATCACGGTTCATCGACAAAATCAGCATTTAAATTTTATGGAATTTCAATTTGAAAATTCCCCAAAAATCCTTATTATGGGTTGTGAGGCGATGGGAAGAGATGGTGGACCAGACTTTATCAGTCTGGAGGATAATTATCAATGTTTGCACATTTTCGAGACAACTTCTTTGGGAGCTAACAAATATTTCGATGATGTGTGTCTTTGTAAAGAAAGTGGAGAAAAATGTGATAATCAGACACCGGTTGGGAAGTGGTAAGCGGATTTTTTCTAATTTTCGGATATTTTAGTAATTTCGGAATTTTTTTTCACAATTTTATGAAGTTTTGGATTCTTTGAGTTCTTGTAGTTTTGTGAAATTTGAAAAAATCCCCGAATTCCAAATTTTCTGAAAATTGAAAAAGCCAAAAACATGCAGAAACGTAGAAATTTTGAAAATTCCTAAAACTCTAATTATCCGAAGTTTTACAAATTTTTAATTTGCAGCACTTCGGGCAAGGTACAATGGTGGCAGGATGACTTTTCGACCAGTATGGTACCAACTACTACAGTAACCACAACACAGGCGACGACTACTGTAGCTACAACTACCGAACCCTCAACAACTACAGTACCCACAACAACTACTGAAGCCACAACTACAGTACCCAGCGACAAGTTCTCCTTTGAAATCTCGCTCACAGAGGGAAGAAATAATCGAAAAAATCAAATGATGGTTTCTTCGGAAATGGATTGTAGTTTAGAAAAATGCGATTTTTGGATCAAAGTTGATAATCGAGCACAGACTTGGTTCAAGGTCTACATGGGCAGTGAAGAGTGAGTTTTTAAAATGTTTGGTGCAAAGTAAATACAAAATTCGAAATTATCATGAAATTTTACCCCTATTCTGTACTTTTCAGCATTTTAGCTCAATGTGTCGTAAGCTCTGGTGCGTGGTCCGCAAACACCAACCATGCACCATACTTTACGACACTTTGCACTAGAAAGCTGAAAATTTCAGTTTCGATGTAGAAAGTTGTCGGAAACCCGAATTTCGCACTCATTTTGCACCTACATCTTTTCTTACATCCTAAAAAGTCAATAAAAATTCCGAAAACTCTTCCAGATGTCAAAACCAAAAATGCTCGGGGTCAGTCGTCCCAGGAGCCTCTGCAAATGTCACAATCTACCGGGGAACTGAATTTTTGGATTTTTTCGATTTTCAATTCAAAAATATTGTGGTCCTCGGATGTGATAATGGACTTTTGGACTACGGTAGTTGTGTCAGGATGACCAAAGCAGTATCAATCAATGGACAAGAATATATTGATGAGATTTGTAGTTGTAGAAGTCGTGAAATGGATTGTAAGAATGCAAAAGTGGGAGTATGGTGAGTGAGCTACAGTAATCCAACATCTTTTCGATTTTTCAGTGAAACTGGAGTGCAAACTTGGTGGAGAGATGCACCGAGGACTAGTACTACTGGTGGGACCTCTTCAGAAGCTACTACAGTACCCACAACTACAGCAGCTGCAGTACCCTCTTTGCAGGATTTGGCTAATGTGAGAGTTTTGGAATTTTAGAGAATTAAAAATTTGAAAATTCTGAATTAGACAATTTTTTAATTCAAAAACCCGAAAATCCAAAAATCCCCAAACTTCAAAATTCCCATAATTTTTTTGAGTTTCTGAGTTTTTTTGAGAATTTTTGAAATTTTGGATTTTTTGATTTTAAGAAATTATAATTATTTTTTTGTGATTTCTCAAAAATTCAAAACAACCGAAATTCGAGAATTTTCAACAGTATTCAAAAAATTAAAAAAATCTCAAAATTTCTAAATTTTCAAAAATCTAAAAATGAATAATTTCTAGAAAATCTAAAAAATCCGAACATTTCAAAACTTCCAGAAAATTCGAAAGTGTGAAAATCAAAAAAAAATTTTAAGAAGTGTTCAGAAATCTAAAAATCCAAAATCTCAAAAACTGGAAATCTGAAGAACCTAAAAACCCAAAAATAAAAAAAAACCAAAAAAAAAACTCAAACTTTCTGAAATTTCTAAAAATGCCGAAATTTCGAAAATTCTCAAAATATCTGAAAATCTGAAAAATCCAAAATTTCAAAATATCCAAAAATTCAAAATTTCCAGGGCGGCGTAGATCTGAGCAATGTGACCCAGGTTCTCAACGACACCGAACACTACTCAAAACAAGGAATGGCTCTGAATCACACCCAAATTTTCGATATCACAAAAATTTTGCACAATTCTGCAAACCTGCCAGGAATTTCTCAAAAGGTATGGGATAATTAGCTCTAATTAATTCCTAATTATCCCAGAATGCAATTCAAATTCTTCAAAACATGGACCAATGTCTGAATGCTCATAAGGAGCAAGTTCGACGAGGGCAAACTCGAGAATTCCGACTTTTGGCTGTTCTACAGCCCATGGTTATGAATACCAAGGACAAATTAATACAATATTTGGATGGGAAGAATCTAGGATTTAATGCAAAAAAAGTGAACTGTCAGGTGAGTGGCCTAGCTTTTTCTAGGCTGTAGAATTTTTTTCGGATTTTAGGTTATTCAAAGAAAATTTGGCTCAAAATAAATGTGAAATTCGAAATCCTCATAAAATTTCACCCATATTCAGAAATTTTCAGCCTTCTAGCTCAATGTGTCGTAAGCTCTGGTGCTTGGTCCGCAAACACCAACCGTGAACCATATTTTACGACACTTTGCGCTAGAATGCTGAAAATTTCAGACTATGGGTAATATCATATGGGAAATCTGAAAAACAACTTAGTTTTTGACGCAAAGAATCTTGGAAAACCAGAATTTCAGAATGAAAACCATACTGACGACGGGCTAATCGACTACGGTAGGGATATTGGATTCGCAGTGCTCAACGACACCAACAAGTTGTCTTCAACTCAACACAACTCAATTATAGTCCCCCTGGGTACAGTATGCCAGGATAGTCAAGACATTTCCCATGTGTTTTTTACAATTTTTCGAGGGCAAAAACTCTTTCGAGGTCCCCAAGCTTATCGGAGTTATGGAAGGAAGTCGGAGGAAGCTGATGATAGTAGTGATAAAGAATCTAGTAATGAATTTCGGGAGCGATGGAAACGAGATGCTATTCAGCCAAATGAGACAGAAGGTGGTGAGTTATGCGATTGTTAGAAGTTTGAAGGGTTCTAACTTTGGCATAGATTAAGCTAGAATTTTGAAATTAGGCGCCAATATTGATAGAAACGTCAGAAATGTAATGGAAAAAATTGGGAAGATTTGGCGGCCTATGAACGTAGTTACAACGATTTCGAAAACCTTGGTGGTCTAGCCACGCGGTTATCTGAGAATTTGAAACCTTTCAACTTGGATCTTGGATGAGCTAGAAAGCTCAAACTTGGAATCAATATTTATATCAACAAGTAGAATGATTTACGCAGAGTACGGCTGTTAAACTGAAAATTTTGTTAATTGGCATATTCGAGCCAAAATAACGCAATTTTCAGTAAATCAAATCCCAGCACCATCCAGATGCGTCGTTCAACCATCTGTACCCGATGTTCCAGTAATGTCAGCAACATTGATGAGTGGGGCTGTCCAGATACATTCTTTTCCCAAAATTGTGGGGGTCAGCAGACCACCAATGGCAAAACTTCAATTTAATACTGGAAAAGTGAGTTTTAGGCAAGAGCTACTTATATTTGAGTGCTCAGTATTGACCCACAGGTTAAACAAAGTAACTTTTTCGAAGTTTAACACAGTTAGAAAATATACAAAGTTTTCTTCGTTTCAGTTAAAAAACCAATTTTCTAGGTCGTCTAGGAGCCGAGATATGGTCATTTGAAGTTTTGAAAAGACGCAGACAACGAGAGCACTCTCGTTTCTCTGCGCCTCTCCCAAAACTTCAAATCACTGTATCTTGGCTCAAAATCAACCGATTGTCATGCTTCTATGAGCATTTTGAAGCTAGAGATCTAATAAATCAGAATTACTTATTAAGATCCCCCGACCCCTTCACGGACAAAAAATTGTGACCTGGTTCGACGAGTCGAAACAAGAATGGGCGCTCCAGGAGAAGTGTAACATGGAAAGTGATGAAAACGGAATCGTATTAGCATCCTGTGAGCATCTCACCGATTTCACAGTTTTGATTTACGGGCAACTCGACGCTGAGCAGGTTTGCAGTTGGCCATTGATTATAATCGGCTACTCGGTTAATGGTGCATCGATCTTCTGTCTTCTATTGCTGATTGTAATTGGATTACTGTTTTAGTATGACTCCTATTTTTTCGAAACTTTTCAAAATCAGAGTTTCCAGCATTCAAACTGACACTATCCGAAAGATTTTGAGCTATATCCGAGGTCAAGCACAGACAAGTGGAGATATTATCAATTTATCATACTACTGTATTTTTCTGATGTTCTTTGTGCTGTCCTTGTTTTTTATGGACCAGTCTAGCGGTGGGAATGAGGAGGATGGAACTACAACGTATTGTGTTGTGATTGCGGCAATGTCCTATTTTTCATTGATCAGGTGAGGGTTGAGAGCGTAGCTGAGTTGGTAAAATCAGACTTGTAGCTTGGCATCGCTTGCCGATACTTGCCTAAGCTTGCGGATGCTTGGCGAAGCTTGCCGACGCTTGCCGACCGCTTGTCAACCGCTTGTCGACCGTTTGTTGAGCGCTTGCCGACCGCTCGTCGACCGCTTGTCGACCGCTTGTCGACCGCTAGTCGACCCCTTGTCGACCGCTTGCCGACCGCTTGCCGACCGCTTGCCGACCGCTTGCCGGCCGCTTGCCGACCGCTTGCCGGCCGCTTGCCGACCGACTCATTGAAGCCAGCTGGATTGTTGCAGCAATCCAGTAGCTCAAAAAATCATTAAATAGTTCCTAACTTTTCAGCGCTATCATGATGAGCATGCTGATCGGAATCCGAATGATTTGTCACTTTTTCTCTCCCAAACTTCGTGCATTTTTCAAAGTGATGACTTCCCCACCAGCTGCGTTAAGCATCGGAGTCATTATTCCATTCACTCTAACCCTAACTCTAGCACTTTCCGAAAGAGAATTTTTCGAACGAAACGACGCATTCTGTTGGGTTCGTCCGGATTACATTGCCTATGCCGTGATAGTACCAGTGATATTGCCAATTATCAATGGAGTCATTTGTTCAACATTTGCCATTTATAAAATGTTCTTCCAAGCGAAACGAGGGTTGAGGGATAAGGAGACGTCTCATTATGATGCTGAGTTTTGGTCAAAAGTCCTTGGATTGATTATTATGCAATTTGCAATGGGTCTACCGTGGGTGAGTCTCAACTGGGAGCTCAGCTGATAGTGATAAGCTCGATCTCTGCGTAGCTCAGTTTAGAAAAACACTGAAAATAGTGATTCGATCTTGTTGACTCAATTTTCCCCGCTGATATCAGCGAAACCAACTACGTAGGTCAATTAAATGACGATTTTATGATTTTCAACCTGTTCTTTTGACTTTGATAAGACAAAAAACGGAGAGTTTGAAAACATGAAAATTGCTTAAAGTAACGACCGAGTAACTCAAAATGTCAGGATCTATAACTTGCGTATCGTTGGCTCTAGAAAAATGAAACTTGGTGGACTTTTAGAAAACGTTTGATTTTCTAAAACTGGGAAACTTGAGATTCCTAGGAAAGCTGGAAGATGAGCTACGAGCGTTTAGGTTCATAACTTGGTTCTAGCTTGAGCTAGATACTAGAAAATTGACATGTATGTAAAACAACTCTATTAAAAGGGATTCTGAAAATTTCAAAAAATTCGGTACATTGGGAGCTGAGAAATAATGAAAAGAGCTGGTTAGCTACACCGTTAGAACTATCGCGGGTCTCAATGTTCCTAGAACCTTGGAACGTTGCTAAGATACCAATAAGATATTAATCCAACCCCTAATACAATTGCAGGGCATAGAATTCATTCTAATCGGTGTCGCCGGGAGCAGTGCCTGGAACTATGTGTTTGTGATACTACTAGGAACTCAAGGAATCGATCTATTCTTAATATTTTTGTATCGAAGACAGCGATTGGTGAATGAATCAAGGAAATGGAGCGCGAGAGAGGAGAAAATGGAGAGGAAGCAGAGACAATTGGAAAGAAGTGGCGAGGAAGGTTAAGGTTGGAAATTTGGTTTTTAAAAAAATTTGTTGAGCTTTACATTGTTATGGGTTTTCTAGCTTTTTTAGTTGTTAAGGTTTTTAATTTGAAATAAAACTTTTTGAAGTTAATGAAATTGTAACAACTAAATCATTCAACCTCTATCTCAATTTCAACATCTCCCTAAGCATCTAGCTCAGTCTCTAGCTTAACCTCTACCTCACTGTCTTTCTCAACCTTAACATCTATCTTATCCTCAACATCTATCTCAACCTCAGCCTTAACCTCAATATCTTCCTCAACGTCTATCTCAGTCTCTAGCTTAACTTCAACATCTATCTCAACATCTACCCCTACCCCTTAACCAAATCCTCAGTATCTTCCTCAATCTCTACCTCAACATCTAGCTCAGTCACTATCTCAACCTGTACCTTCTTCTTAATACCTTCCTCAGCCTTAACATCTTTCTCAATATCTATCTCAACATCCACCCCGATTATTCCTCTACCTCTGTCTCAATCTTAACCTCAATATCTTTCTTAACCTTCATCTCAACCTCAATATCTTCCTCAACCTCTATCTCAGTCTCTATCTTAGCCTCTATAACAACCTCCACCTTTACCTCAACATCTAGCTCAGTCTCTCTCTTAACCTCTATCTTAACATTTCTATATACCGTAACCTCTACATCAACCGCATCCTCGGCCTCAACCTCATTCTCAACCTCAGTCTTAACCTCAACATCTATCTCAATATGTACCTCTAGCTTAACGTCACCCTCAACATCTTTCTCATTTTCTTTCTTAACCTCTATCTCAACCTTAACATCTACCTCAAAAATTGATAAATTTAAATCCAATGACCTCAACTGAAACTTTATGAAACTGGATGACCTCAAAAATTTCATATTTTGTGTGGGAGGAGGAAACATGCGTGATTCTAGAGACGTAAGCACAAACAAGAACAGTTTTTATAACTTTTTTCTCTTCTTCTCTTCACTCTCAACTGCCTCACCGTCTACTTCTATCTTAACATCTACATTCAACATCTACACTCAAGATCTATCTTAACCTCTACTTTGACCTTAACGTCTGCCTCAACATCTACCTCAATAACTATCTCAACCTCAACATCTCCCTCAACTACTTTTTTCTCTTTTTCTCTCTATCTCTCTCACTATCACTACCTTGTGTGTCATTCTTATCACCGACGTATTTCCTTTCTACCCTTTCTTCCCGCGTTTTCCATACCCCACCCTTCCTTTAAAACCCCGCTAAAAATAATTGGTTTATGCATTCCGATGTCTTACTTTTCCCACAGACAAATCGTCTGCATTCTTCTAATTCTTGGAATCTTTGGACCATCTACAGTAGCCGCTATCACCTACACTTTTCGATTTCAAGAGAACGATTTGAATAATTTTTTTCTAATTTACTATTTAAATGTGCAAATTGATATTGGTTTTATGGATGATGGGACGGCACTATTCACGACTTCTGTGTTGAATGTGTCGCCGTTTCATTTTTCAATGTTCGTCAATGGCAGGAAGTGAGTTTTTTTTTCAAAATTTCATTTTAAGGAAATCCAGATATTCCTAAAAATCGGAAATAGAAATTTCTGAAAAATTCGAAAATTCTGAAAATTCGGAACCAGTAATTTTTTTATTTCCACTAAATATTTTTCTCTAAAATTCAGAAATTCAAATATATGTATTGGTTAAGCAAATATCAATTTCCTTATCAGCATTTTACAACCTTCTATTTAACACTATAAACTTGAAAATTTTCAGGATTTTCAGACAAAGAAACCGTAAAATTGCGGTAATTTTAGAATTTCGAAAATTTGAAAAGTCTGAAATCTCTATATGATTTTTTAAAGTTAGAAATCTTCGAATTAAGGAATTTAAAAATTTTCGAATTTCTGAATTTTTTAGAATTTCTGATTTTCTAGATTTTCTGAATTACAAACTATCTCAAAATTAAAATTCAGCTGCGGTATCATCAATTTGCGATGTCAATTCACTATCCAACCAAATCAACAATTAAATATTGTGGTTAATAAAATTGATATGGTAATTACAGTAAACTTTGGGTCCATATATCTCATTTCCTGTGATAGATATCAAAAAGTGGTCAATTGATAAAATGTTGGTGATAAGCTCAAAAACATTTTATCAGTTGACCACATTTTGATATCTCTTATAGGAACCGAGATAAATTGCCTCAAAGAAAGTTGGGAAATTTTCCAAAAAAAGAACATTTTCAGGAATCTAATCTTTTGAGTTTTCTGTACAAAGGAGGTTCTCAAAGTCCGGATGTTTTTATAAATGGCTGTTCGGAGACGATAAAAACTGGATTATGTGCTTTTGGATCTCAGTTATCAACCGATACTCAGGGAAATGATTACGATGATTCGATATGTGTTTGTCATGGGATACTGTCGAGTTGTATTATGACTTCTAATGATTCTTGGTGAGATTTTTTTAGAATTTTGGATTTGAAAATTTTTTGAATTTTCGAATTTTTAAATTTTCTTTTTTTTCCAGACTTTTTGGAAGTTTTGAAGCTTCTTGAAATTTGAAAACATTGAATTTCTGAATTTCTGAATTTCTGAATTTCTGAATTTCTGAATTTCTGAATTTCTGAATTTCTGAATTTCTGAATTTCTGAATTTCTGAATTTCTGAATTTCTGAATTTCTGAATTTCTGAATTTCTGAATTTCTGAATTTTTGAATTTCTGAATTTCTGAATTTCTGAATTTCAGAATTTCTGAATTTCTGAATTTCTGAATTTCTGAATTTCTGAATTTCTGAATTTCTGAATTTCTGAATTTCTGAATTTCTGAATTTCTGAATTTTTGAATTTCTGAATTTTTGAATTTCTGAATTTCTGAATTTCTGAATTTCTGAATTTCCGAATTTCTGAATTTTTGAATTTCTGAATTTCTGAATTTCTTTTTTTTTTTTTTTTATTAAATCTGAAAATCCTCCATATTTATTTCTTATTTCTTTAAATCTGAAAATCCTCCATATTTCTGTGTCTTGCAATGTCTTAAAAAATACAAAATGTTCAATTTTTATAAAATTCAAAAAAAAATTCCAGCATTGCGAATCACCCATTCTGGAACTACCAACCAACAACATCCATGGACGCCACGAGTACTACAAGGTTTCTAACCACAACTACCGTACCCACAACTACCGCACCCACATCGACTACAGTAATCCCAACAACAACTACAGTACTACCAAATACTACACTAGTCCAGACGACTACAAAGCTACCAACCACTAAGCTTACAACCACCACTGCTTCTACCTCCACCAACATGACTACAAAGACTACAACTCCCCTACAAACTACAACTCCTATATTACAAACTACAAAGACTACAACTCCCCTACAAACTACAACTCCTATATTACAAACTACAAAGACTACAACCCGACTACAAACTACAACCACCAGAACCACCACAGGCATGCCAACAACAACAACAAGCAGCACTAGCACGTGTGATAGTTGACCCAATTAAGAAATTCAAAAAGTTAATTGATAATCGATTACAGAACCGTCAAAAATTCCACGAATGCCACGTCATCGATGACGTCGTCAACCACAACGTCATCACACCCCACGACGACGACGACACCTGATGCGTTTGTGCCGACGCTAAAAAATTTGAGTGATGTTAGTAATTTTAAGAAAAAATCGGAAAATTTTGTGAAAAAATAATTCCGGGACACAACAAACAATTATTAATAATCGGATTACTTTTTTTAATTAGAAAACATTGAGTTAATAATAATTCGTGAAGGAAGTAGGCGGTGACCTGAACTGGTGGCTACAGTAATCCCCCTACAGTAGTCAACATTTTCCAGAGCGGTGTGGGACCCAACAACGTGTCTACCGTACTCAATGAAACGCTGACCTATTCGAAAATGGGTCCGAATTTGAATTCCACTCAAGTCATGGAAATTTCAACGATTCTAGTGAACGCCGCCAATGTTCCCGGATTGACAACAGAGGTAAAAATCTTAAATTCAAAAAATTACTTTTCAAAATTTTCAGAACTCCTATCAAATCCTTCACAATCTAGACAACATGCTCTATGTCGATCCTACTACCATGTATCAAAGTGGGAATTCTGCTCAAAGGTATTTTCAATCGACGGCCTAGAAAAATCTTAGGCCATGTGTATTTTCAGAGTCCTCAATAGTCTTGGAACTATGGTTGACAACACCATGGATCAGCGGATTGAGTACTTGGAGGGGACGAATCTAGGATTCAGTTCGAAGAAAATCAATTGCCAGAATTTAAGCCAAGATGATGGATTGCTAGATTTAGGCTCGAAATTTGAGCTTATAAATTCCACGGATTCCCTTGGGAAGTGGCACTCCATACTTGTCCCATTATCCGATCTATGTAGCACCCAAGCTTGTGAGTTAATTAGTCAACTTATCCCTAATTATGCTTAGTTACAGTATCCCATGTGTTCTTCACAATCTATCGAGATACTTCGTTGTTCGTGGGTCAGCAACAGTATCGGAGTTATACGGGAACGAATCATCCGATTTCGTCGGGACAAGCGGAGACGTATACACCGCCGCCACGATATAGGAGAAGTGTTTGGGATGAGGAGGATAGTGAAATGATGAATGTCACGAGTCGTGAGTTTTTTGTGACAAATTTGAGAGTTTTATATGGTGTGTCAAAGTTCAGCTAGTTATAAAATCTGAAGAAACTGTTGCGCCAAGAGCTTTTAGCCACTTCCTGACGCTTGCCGATGCTTGCCTACGCTTGCGGGCCGCTTGTCGACCGCTTGCCGACCGCTTGCCGACCGCTTGCCGACCGCTTGCCGACCGCTTGCCGACCGCTAGCCGACCCCTTGTTGACCACTTGTCGACGTTTGCCGATGTTTGCCCAATGCTTACCAACGCATGTCGACGACCGCCGAAACTTGCCGATGCTTTCCGACGCTATCCGAACATTCGCCGACGCCCGCCGACGCTTGCTAACGCTTGCCAGCGCTTTCCGAGCATTCGCCGACGCTTGCCGACGCTTCCTGACGCTTGCCAATGCTTGCCAACGCTTGCCGACGCTTTCCGATGCTTNGCCACGCTTGCTGACATTTCTATGAGCTCAATGAAACAATATTTTTCAGAAACTGTACCCCTATCCCCTTGCGCTCGTCAAACATCCCTTCCATCAACACCGGTGATGAGTGCTACCGTACTCAATAACGGTGTAGCTGTGTCCATCTCCTCCACATCTGATGCTCCAATGGCACTACTCCGTTTCAATGTTTCGACACTTTTGCGACCCCTTCATGGAAGTTTAAAAGTCACTTGGTGGGATGTTGGACGCAGACAGTGGGCCGATAATCGAGAATGTGAAATTATGACTGATTCGGATGGGATTCTCGAGGCAAGGTGTACACATTTGACGGATTTCGCTATTATTGTGGTAAGTAGCCTGGCTCAATTTTTTGCTATAATTCCAAAATTATAGCGATCAGTTCCAACTGATTATCAGTATGCTCGGTGCAAAAAGTTCTATTGTTCGAAAAATTAAAAAATTCCAGGATGCCGCTCTGAACGACCCGAATGTCTGTGACAATGCTCTTATCACATTGGGATATGTTGTAAACGGATTATCGATTTTCTCACTGGTCTTTCTCACATTCTTTAGTCTGGCTGCCTAGTAAGATTTTGTTTGAGGTACAGTAACCCCATATGAAAGTTTCAGTATTCCCTACCTGGCGAAAAGTCGCCTCTACACCTATGTTCGAGGTCATAATCTGGCGCGACGGGATTTTCTAGCACTGGCTTATCATTTCGATCTACTTTTATTCTACATCTTTTTCACTGTGTTCTCAAATCAAGAAATTTCTGGAACGGCGTGCACAACAATGGCGGCGGTGATGTACGCGTTGTTGTTGTGGTGAGTATTTTTCTAGTCGTCAAAATTCTCAGTTTTTCAGCTTTATATTGGTTCCAAAACCAAGTTTTTTGCTGTCCTAGAAGCCGAGAAATAAAAATTTGAAGTTTTGAAGAGACACAGACAACAGACGCAGACGACAGGCGAGGTTGTCTGCGTGTTTTCTGAAGTTTGAGAGGTTGTATCTTGGCTTTTATGCAAGCTAGAAACTTGATTTTTTCGATTTTTGTGAAACTAAAATTCTTCATTTCTGCAGCTTGCTTTTGGTTCAAAAACCAATTTTCTAGCTTTTCTACAAGCCGAGATATAGGCCTTTGAAGTTCAGGGGAGACGCAGACAGTTTGAGTGCCTCGTTGTCTGTGTCTCTTCTTAACTTCAAACGGTCTTATCTCGAATATTAGATGAGCTAGAGACTTGGCTCTTACTCTTTTTGTAACCTCAAATTTCTTCACTTTCTCAGCTTTGTTTTAGTCCAAAAACCAGGTTTCTAGCTTTTCTACAAGCCGAGATATAACCACTTGAAGGTCAGGAGAGACGCAGGCAGCAAGAGTGTCTAGTTCTCTGTGTCTCTTCTAAACTTCAAATCGTTGTATCTCGGCTTCTAGAAGGGCTAGCAAACTGGTTTTTAGACTAAATTGAAGCTTAGAGAATGAACAATTTCATAGAAATTTTCCAGCTCTCTGCTACTAACAATCTGCCAAGCGCTTCGAAATATTCTAAGCTTCCTACCCAAAACCTTCGTTAAATGCCTTGGGATTCTCCTAAGCACCCCTGCAGTCCTAATTATGTCAGTTGGTGAGTCCTCAAATTTTATAGATTTTCAAAAATAAAAAATTTCCAGCAATCCCTTTCATCTTATCCATGTTTCTCCTAGTTTTCACAAAATTTTTCGATCGCCAAGACTGTTTTTGTTGGGTCCGTCCGGATTATGTGGTTGCCGCCATCATCATACCAGTGACAATTTTGTTATTAAGTACCGTAATCTGCACAAGTTTCATGATCTACAAAGTGTTTTGTGGGATGAAACGGAAGTTTAGTCAAGGTGTAAGTGACCGAGGTCGAGTTTCCTAGACCATCTTATTCTTTCAGGGCCATCACTACGATCCCAATGTCATCACAAAGATTGTGTCAATTGTAGTCATGCAAATCTCGCTGGGTCTTCCATGGGTCCTCCAGTTTGGCACCCTCTACTCCCCATACACCACGTTTTGGCACTATCTATTCACAATTGTTCTAGGATCCCAAGGAACGATTCTATTTTTGATTTTCCTCTACAAACGATATCGAGCTTGGCAATCGGAGAGTGTGCTCAAATCGAGAGAGCCCAGTTTTCATAGAAGCTCGAGAAGGAAACTGACGGAGAGTTTAGGATCAAGTACGGATACGTTTAATGAGTACTAATTGATGTCTACATATGTGATGATTTTATGTGCCATTTTGATTTTTGTATATAAATGAATAAAATAAACGTACTTGGTGGTTGAAGGTGGTGGTGCGATGTGCTGGTGTTGTTGTTCGGCACGTTTTGCGGCGATTGGGGTGTCAAGAGGTCTGAAAATTGGTAGAGGTTGAAAGCAAAACGACTTCCTAGCTTAGTGAAAGGTTTGCCGACGCTTGTCGACCCTTGCCGAACGCTTGTCGATGTTTGCCCAATACTTACCGACGCATGTCAATGCCCGCCGACGCTTGTCGACACTTGCCGACGCCTGCCGACGTTTTCCGATGCTTGTCGGTGCTTTCCGAATATTTTTCGACGCTTGCCAACGCTTGTAAACGCTTGCCAACGCTTGCCGACTCTTTCCAAAGCTTTCCGACGCTTTCCGAAGTTTGCCGAACTCTTTCTGATGCTCGCGGACGCTTGCCGACGCTTGCCGACGCTAGCCGACATCCGCCAATGTCCGTCGACGTTCGCCGACGCTTGCCAACGCTTGCCGACGCTTTCCGAACATTCGCCGACTCATGTCGATGCCTGCCGACGCTTGCCGACGCCTGCCGACGCTTGCCGAACATTCGCCGACACTAGCCGACGCCCGCCGATGCTTGCCAATGCTTACCGACGCTGGCCAAAAATTAACCGACGCCTGCCGACGCACTCCGATGCTTGCCGGTGCTTTCCGAACATTTGCCGACGTCCACCGACGTCCACCGACGTCCACCGACGTCCGCCGACGCTTGCCGATAACATTTTCTCTATGTAGCGAAACCGGTAGAAGCGTCGGCGTGGGTCGGCAAGCATCGGCGAGAACTGGTAAACGCCGGCGAGCTTCCTACAACCGCGTAACTGACTCAAAAACTCACTGCATCTGTGCTGCTCCAGAATGACTATCATACGAGATATGAGATGCTGGCGCAAAATGCTCGTAAGCTTTCTGGGAAGTCGACAGATCGGTGTTCGAGTCTCCACCGACTTCATGATCCAAAAGTTTCTTGAGTCGATCAGCTTCCAGGAGCGCTTTCTCTTTTTCCCAGTCCTGGAGAGCCCGCTCATCTCTGAAATGAAATTGGAATCTAGAAGATTTTAAGATTTTCCAAAAACTCACTGCTCACTCAGACGCTTCTCCCTATTGATCTTTTTGGGTGTGACAGGTTGGAATGCTCCGGCTTGCTGAGCCATTTGTTGCTCCGCGATGAGAGCTCGAGCTCCTGGGGATAACTGAGAGATGTCCACGTATTGCTGTTGCTGGTATCTAGCCAAGGATCCAGGGGATAGCTGGGTGAAATCGAAGTTTGGCTGGTATTGTGGCTGGATTTGAATGCCAAGAGGCTGCTGTGGCCGTCCGAGTTGCCCAAGTTGCTCCGAGAGTTGATTCATTCTTTGGTCCGTTGGCACATCATAGATATCAAATTCAGATAGAAGCTTCTGATCGGTTGGACTGATTGGAATTGGCTGAACCAGTGATTTGTGTTGGGGCACTGGTGGTGGTTGTTGCTGAGCATAGTATTGCTCAGCAGCCTTTTTGAGATGGGGTGGAACGTGCTCAAAGTCATGGGCAAAAGGCGGAGAGTCGGGGGCGATCGATGGGATCTGTTCGAATTGGGTGGAATCCCGAGATGTTGGGGATAGATCCATGTTTTTGGTTTGGTGGAGATGGTGGTCGACGGAGTGGAGAACCGAGTCGAATTTCTCTTTGGTCGCGTCGATGGCGGCGCTAAAAAAATCAAAAATTCTTTAGAATCTTCTAGAAAACGAGATTGGGATTTGTCAGTCTCACTTTAGATTTTGATTGTTATCAGTTGAAACTTCCAAAAGTGATTCAAAAGTTGAGAATCTGACTTTTCCATTTTTCTGCTTCAATTTGGTCCATAAACCAATTTTCTAGCTATTCTCGGAGCTGAGATATAGACATTTGAAATGTTGGAGAAGCTCAGACAGCTAGAGTGTTTGCTTGTCTGCGTCTCTGAGATCATAAACTTTGAGCGGTCGTATCTCGGTTTCTAGAAGAGCTAGAAAGTTGGTTTGTGGACCAAACTTAAGCTGAGAAAATGAAGAATTTTCAGTTTCACAAAAATCAGAAAAATCGAGTTTCTATCTCATCTGGGACCCGAGATAGAGACATTTGAAGTTTAGGAGAGACGCAGACAAGCAGACACTCTAACCGTCTGCGTCTCTCCAAGTTGCAAATTAAGGTATTTCGGCTTCTAGAAAGGCTAGAACGTTGTTTTCTCGGCCAAAAATTTAATTTTTTTTCAAAACTTTAGACATTTTTAGAATTCAAACTATTTTTCCGATAATTTGAATATTTCAGCAATATTATTTTCAAAAAAAATCCGGGAGACATTGAAATTATATAATTGAAACTTCAAGCTACATTTCTGTACCCCTCTAGCACTTCTACAACTCCAGATACAGCCCTTCAACGTTTTGAAGAGACGAAGACAGTTAGAGTGTCTAGTTGTCTAGCCACCATAAACTTCAAATCGCTGTATCTCAGCTCCTAGAAGAGCTAGAAGGTTGGTTTATGGACCGAACTTAAGCTGAGAAAATGAAGAATTTTCAGTTTTACAAACATCAAAAAAAAATCGAGTTTCTATCTCATCTGGGACCCGAGATAGACACATTTAAAGTTTACGAGAGACGCAGACAGTCAAACACTCTAACCGTCTGCGTCTCTCCGCATTGCAAATTACGGTATTTTAATTTCTAGAAAGGCTAGAACCTTCGTTTTTGGACCAATATTTAATTTTTTTCTCAAAATTTCAGGAATTTTCAAATATATTTTTCAAGCAATTCCGAAATTTCAGCAATTTTTTTTGAAAAATTCAGAAAAAATTTGAAAATCTGGAAATTGAATATACAAGCTACATTTCTGTCCAAGAATCAATTCTCTAGCACTTCTAGAACTCCAGATACAGCCCTTCAAAGTTCTGAAGAGACGCAGACAGTTAGAGTGTCTAGTTGTCTGCGTCTCTACCTCCGTAAACTTCAAATCGATGTATCTCAGTTCCTAGAAGACCTAGAAGGTTGGTTTTTGGATTAAAAAAAACGAAAAATCCAATAAATCGACTTACCCAACATTCAAGCCCACTTCCAAACTTGGGAACTTGTTCTCCGCAAACTGTTGGACATTGTTCTGAACTGTAAGCGCCGCTTCCTTCAGATATTGGTCTGCCTCACGAACGAGTTCTTCAGCGGATTCCGGAATGTGTTGCTGGAAGAATTTCTGGCGTTTTTGATTTCTAGGCCATCACTCACCACTTTCTCATGCAACTTTTCACTAGCCGCTGCTAGAACGTGCGATACCGAAGTTTGTGCCTCTTGCTCTTCTTCTCCTTTTTTGTCTCCAGAATCCTTCTTATTCTTGTCATCCAAAAGCTTGAAGAAATAGTAGACAAAAGCGATGGCTCCGATGGTGAGCAAGTAGCGAGTGAACCCGGAAAATACCAGAAAATGCTCCGGCTCCGGACACTCCTCCCACTCGTCCGGGTCGTACCCGAGACGTGCGTCGAACACCATTGGATGGATGTAGGGGGTGGGGGCTGAAATTTGAATATTTAGGAAAATGTTGCCAAATTGAAAAACGAGAAAAAGTTGCAAGTCTCTAGCGCATCTAGAAGCCGAGATACAGACATTTGAAATTGAGAAGAGACACAGACAACGAGGCACTCTAGCTCTCTGCGTCTCTCCGAAATTTCGAACTGTATTTCGGTTTATAGAAGGTCTAGAAAATCGGATTTTGGACCAAAACAAAGCTGAGAGATTGTGAAATCAAAAAATTAAAAAATTCCGGAAAAAACAACGTTTCTAGCTCTCGTAGGAGCCGAGATACGTGCATCTAAAGTTTAGAAGAGACGCAGACATTTAGTCTCTTCTAAACTTCAAATGCATTTATCTCGGATCGTAGAAAAGCTAGAAACTTGGATTTTAGAACAGAATGATGCAGAAAAGAATCACAAAAATCAGAAAGAACAGTGTTTCTAGCTCACCAATGAGCCAAGTAACAGAAGCTCAAAGTTTAGAAGAGACGTAGACAACGAGATACTGTCTGTGTCTCTTCTAAATTTCAGATGTCCATAACTCAAGTTCTAGAAGAGCTAGAAAGTTGGTTTTTGAACCAAAATAATGCTAAAAATTAGGAATTTCGAAATCTACAAAAAAAAATAAACCGATTTATAGCTTTTCTGGTTTTCTAGATAAGAATGCTTTAATGTTCAGTGCGAATATGATTGAAAATTTTTCAAAATTGCTGAAGGGAAATCAGGAAAATATGAATTTAGTAATACAAAAAAAATTGGAATTTCTTCCAATTTTTAACTTATTTGAATTAGTTGTGGACCACTTTTATGATTTTAGAACCAGCTTTTAAAGTTTCTAGGTTATTTTCATAATTTTTCGAAAGTTTTTCAAAAAGCCAGAATGGTGCTATAAACCAAATCTGAGCTGAAAAAGTGGAGGATACAAAAACAAACTTATGAGAAATTTAGAAAAATTAATTTTTTGGCTTTTTCAAAATCTTTTGGAATCAAAAAAGCACAAAGAACTCTCTCCTATTCAGTTTCTTCTTCTCTACATTTTCCTCTTGTTCGTTTCAAAAAAAAAATGTCTTTTCCTCGGGATTTTTAAGTTTCCGTCCTCTTTCTTACAATGTAATAGTCCGGGGATGATGCTCCGAAAAAAAGAAGAGGAAGAAAAAAAAAAAGACTTCTGCTACTGCGTAGCTGAAGAGAGAGGATGGCATGGAGTAGAGTCATGAACTCTCCAAGAGAGAGTGAGAAAGATGTTGAGAGAGATGTTGAGAAACTGATTTAGTGATTGGTAAAGAGTGTCGGAGAGATGGGTACTACTGGTGGGAAAACGATGGGACACGGATGACGGAAGGAAACAAAAACAACACTTGTCAAGATGTTCGGGAAAAAGTGAAGGTATCTAGTTCCAAAAAAAATTCAAAGGATTTTTCAAGAATCTAACTTTGCGGGTTTCAGACAATCGTTCATTAAAATTTCTTCGCTCATTTTAGCTGAAAACTGTCATCTTTGGAGTCATAAAAAAGTGGTTTATCATATTTCGAAGTTTGCGAAAATTTGATAGTGTGTTACACGAAAATAGAGCTTCAATTTTGTAGTTGACAACTTTTTCGTAGCTTTATTGGTTTTTGAGATATGCGCCTTTAAAACTACCATAGGCTTCTCTCCACTCTTACTTTCTCGTCTTTCAAGGCGCATATCGCAAAGCATGAAAAGAATTACAGGAAAATAGAAAAATGTGCTTTAACTAGTTTTGGAATTTTGGCGGATCTAAATGTCTGCTTGAAAATCACAAGAGACGCAGACAACGAGACACTCTAACTGTCTGCGTCTCTTCAAAACTTCATTTTACTGTATCTTGGCTTCTAGAATTGCTAGAGAATTGATTTTTAGGCCAAAATGAAGCTTTGAAAATGAAGATTTTGGAAATATACGAAATTTGAAAAGAACAAAGTTTATAGCTCATCTGAGAGTCGAGATACAATGGCGGAGGCTAGAGACGCAGACAACGAGACGCTCTAACTGTCTGCGCATCTTCTAAACTTCAAATGACTGTATCTCGACTCCTAGAATAGCTGGAGAATTGGTTTTTGGACTAAAATGAAGCTTTGAAAATGAGGAACTTGACACTGTACAAAATGAGCTTTAGATTCGTAAAGCTATCTCGAAATTCATGAGAACGAGAATAAGAGAAAACTGAGAAAACTATGGGAACATTTTTCTGGATTTCCGCAAAGAAAAATAGGGATAAATGTCTCTGTCCACCCACATTTTCAATCCTTAACATCAGAAAAAATCAAAATGTTTGTTCTTTGAAAAATAAGGCAAACAGTAACTTTCCAATAAAACACAGCAGACAAATATATAAAAACCCGATGAAAATCCTCCAAACAGATAGACAGAGAAATTTGAAATCAATCGGACTCAATGGCAAATCTTCTCTTCACCCAGAGAGAGAGAGAGTACGCAAAACGAGGAGACGGTAGAGAAAAAGGAGGGGATGAAGGGATCTCAACGGGCGGGACGGAAGGTCCCGGCGAGAGAGTGACAGACGCAGAGATTGAGCAGTTGTTTAGAGATGTGTGTGTGGGACGGGAACACAACAGGATCGATTGGTAGGCCTGATATGAAAGTTTTCGGAAAAGATGAGCAATGGGAGAGAGAGAGAGAAGCAGATTTTGATCTATGAGTATTTCGTTGGGGTGTGATCAGATATGATGGACAATGTGATGGAGAACAAGAGGTCATTATATTTTGATTAGAAGTGGAATTTTGAGTTTTGAGATTCTGAATTTTTCAGATTTACAGGATCCGAAATTCCTAGATTCTGAGATTCTGAAATTCTGAAATTTAAAAAACTGAGATTCTGAACTTCTGAACTTCTGTGCTTCTGAAATTTTGAGATCCTGAGATTCTGAGATTCTGAAATTATAAGGTAATGAGATCCTAAAATTCTATGATTCTGATATTCTGAGATTCTGAGATTCTGAAATTCTGAGATTCTGAGATTCTGAGATTCGGAGATCCTGAGATCCTGAGATTCTGAGATTCTGAGATTCTGATATTCTGATATTCTGAGATTCTGAGATTCTGATATTCTGAGATTCTGAGATTCTGAGATTCCTAGATCCCTAGATTCCGAGATTCTGAGATTCTGAGATTCTGAGATTCTGATATTCTGATATTCTGAGATTCTGAGATTCTGATATTCTGAGATTCTGAGATTCTGAAATTCTGAAATTTAAAAAACTGAGATTCTGAACTTCTGAACTTCTGTGCTTCTGAAATTTTGAGATCCTGAGATTCTGAGATTCTGAAATTATAAGGTAATGAGATCCTAAAATTCTATGATTCTGATATTCTGAGATTCTGAGATTCTGAAATTCTGAGATTCTGAGATTCTGAGATTCGGAGATCCTGAGATCCTGAGATTCTGAGATTCTGAGATTCTGATATTCTGATATTCTGAGATTCTGAGATTCTGATATTCTGAGATTCTGAGATTCTGAGATTCCTAGATCCCTAGATTCCGAGATTCTGAGATTCTGAGATTCTGAGATTCTGAGATTCTGAGATTCTGAAATTATAAGGTAATGAGATCCTAAAATTCTATGATTCTGATATTCTGAGATTCTGAGATTCTGAAATTCTGAGATTCTGAGATTCTGAGATTCTGAGATTCGGAGATCCTGAGATCCTGAGATTCTGAGATTCTGAGATTCTGATATTCTGATATTCTGAGATTCTGATATTCTGAGATTCTGAGATTCTGAGATTCCTAGATCCCTAGATTCCGAGATTCTGATATTCTGAGATTCTGAGATTCTGAGATTCCTAGATCCCTAGATTCCGAGATTCTGATATTCTGAGATTCTGAGATTCTGAGATTCCTAGATCCCTAGATTCCGAGATTCTGAGATTCTGAGATTCTGAGATTCTGATATTCTGATATTCTGAGATTCTGAGATTCTGATATTCTGAGATTCTGAGATTCTGAAATTCTGAAATTTAAAAAACTGAGATTCTGAACTTCTGAACTTCTGTGCTTCTGAAATTTTGAGATCCTGAGATTCTGGAATTC